AAAGCTGATGAGGAAAAATAAAGTTCCAGGCATAATTTTTTTGATATCCACAATCAGAGAAAAGCAAAAAAAATCTTTGCATAATAATCCTAATTATGCACAAGCTGATTCAGAGAGTCTTAAAATTGTTGAGCAGGTCCAAGTTTGCGATCACTGCTATAGAAAAGGTACTTAAGTCATAAGTACCTTTGGGGAGTTGATATTTTTTATTATGAAAGTCAAAGAAACATAGGCAACATAAAACTAGTGGGATATTTGACATCGTATTTGAGAAACTACTGCATCAATATCTGGTTCCCAGGAAGTAGCTGCAAGTCTCAGTGAGTTTTCAAGAGACTCATCAGCTATTTTGGTTCTAATTTTACTCTTCATGTACTTCATCCTTGAAAATATAGTTATTCACCAATTTAGGTGCCACCAAAAAGTAATGGTACAAGTAAGGCGTGATTGTGAAGCAAGTGTTATTTATCTCTGGGTCAAGATCAGACCGATAGAAGTCCAGTAAAGAGACGTGATCAGATTTTTAAATTGAATGTCAGAGGACAGCTGTGTGCATTCCATTTGAAAATTATCAGGTAATAACATATTTGCGTTGACTGAAAATGGAGTCTCAACTACACCAACATATTATTTTCCCACAAATCTTGAAATCTGTTTTCAAATTCTTCTATCAAATCCAGAAGCAAGGCTGTACATTTCCACTGTTCACAGGACTCAGTTTGGCCAATGTGTTGAAATACACAAAATGGATTACCTTAATTTAAACTTGCCATAATTTCAATTTAATTTGGAATCCTGTGATGACAGGATTGGTAAGTTGGGTCTCATCTTGAAGTCGCATGTTTAACTCATTTAATTGAGCTGTTAAATCCACTAACAATACTAAATTTGTAAGCCAGTTTTCACTGTCAAGTTCTGGCACAAATTTGTTTTTTGATACCATAAACGGCTTGATAACATGTCAAAAATGATAAAATCCTTTCAACATCAGGCCATTAGCTATGTAACTTCTGAAAAGTAAAAGTCAAGTAATTTCCAGGAATTCCTGGAATTGGCAATGATTGAGTCTCTTGGCCCTTGTGAAATGTACCATCTTGATGACGATTTGCATGATGTTATTCACTGTTCAAGCTTCCATGTGTACATTTTCTTGATATACTGTGCCGTGATACTTCCTCAAATGTGAGTTTGGGGTGGCGGTTTCATTGGCTTCTGTTGATTTTACAAGTCCCTCTCTTTTACCCACCATGGCGGGGCACCGTCAGGAACTTTATCAGGCGTGTTGACAATGGACAAAGAAAATCGCTTTGTAACCTATTTTTTACTGCTTCGTGTAAATCTCTTACTTATGTTTTCTAATGTCAGCAAAGAACCCAATTCTTCAATGACATTATATTTGTCATCAATACCTCTAATAAAAATGTCAGGTTGAGCCATATTTGTACCTTCAATTTTGTCATTCATCACCAAAGCAGAAAATCTGGAATTAGCAGCTTTCTTCTCCGAACTTCTTTTGATTTTTCCGATTTCATCAATTATTCTGAGTAGTGTCTGGTGAGACAAACTGATTTTAGAAATTCCACCCCCCCTTCTTTTTCAGGGCAAATTATATGTGCCACACTTCTCATACATTGCTTAATAAATTCACTATCAGTCAATGATTTTAATTTTTTTTTTTTTTTTTTTTGCTGTTAAATATGCTACCACATAACTAGCTTTTACAATGGACTCCATCTGAATTGGAACTTTTTTAAAAAACTGCTAATAGACTTGTTTTCGTTTCCACTGTTTTGTCCCTAGGGCACTGTCCTTCACTGGCATTGAACGTGGTAACATGTTTTTGCATTAAAAGCCTTTTCAAATTACGATCTTTGAAAACTTACCCAAATTCCCTACAAATTAAGCAGAAGGTCTTACAATTTGTCTTGAAAAAAAGGAGTCATCTGTCCACTCTTCATTGAAAAATCTTCCTTCATCTGTAATTTTTCTTTAGGGGAGTTCTGTTTTCTGAGCCATGGGTTGAAGACCCCTGTTTGGAAGTAATTTCACTGGTTTGCATAATAGATTATGAAAGTTTCAATGCACTTGCACTCTGAATCCACCTTCATCAGAGTCTCTGTTCAAAAATATATTTTTAGATTTTCTTTTTAATTCTAGAAATATGTTTAGAGAATTCATTAGTAAATCCATATTATTTATGAGACCTTAAAAATTTCATCCTCTGACTTCGAAATTGTTTATGCATCACCTTTATTTGAGTTTTATTATTTAGTTATGAAGCCCAGGTGGTATTAACGCTGCTGTTCATACCTTGTAATGAATTTGTACCTATATCTATTATCTGCTTCTTTTGGGGGTTAGCAGTCCTGGAGATTTTTATAAAATATGACACACATTACTTATGGCATAAGGTATTTACAAAATTATTCCTTAAGAGCATATCTTTTATGGAATTAAAATGCTGTGTTAAAAATACTGACCTCGTTAAATAAGAACTGATCTTCCAGAGAATTTTCAGAAAGATTTAATTCTGTAAGTCAGATATGTCCGAAAATTATCAAAGGATTATTATTTTTATCCTCTGAAAGCCAAGTGTAATGTAGAATCTGATGAGATTAGACTTTAATTAATGAATAATGAAGATTTGTTGCATAAAGTTTTTCCTAGGGATTTCTACTTCAAACATTTTGTTTCTCTTCCTGTTTGAAACAGTATCTGTGTCAAACCAATCTAATTTGAGAATTACTATGACTGTGTTCTTTTTGGATTTTATATTGTAGTTTGGAATATACTCCACCTGTTTCCAGTATTTATATCTGTATCTGTGTGTATGCATAGATAGATTTATGCACATACATAGATGGAGATATAGGAATATATTTCTAAAGTTGCCTCTGGGAAGGAAGAGCTCTCTAACATACTTACTACATGTTTTCATAAATTGAACCATAAAGTAGTTTGAAAGCTTTACGCTACCTCTATTCACAATTATGAGGTTGGAAGTTCCTTGCAACTAGGATATATGGAAAGTGTCGAGTCAGAAAGGGAAACTCCTTTTGCTCACCAGAAAAAAAAAAGAAAGAAAGAAAGAAAAAGAAAAGAAAACAAGCTAAACACTTGCTTTTTCTGCTTGAGAGTAATGGTTACCAAAACTAGTCCTTGGGAAAGTTTTAACCTATGCAATTTGAAGTAAGATAAATTAAGACAGAGTGAATTGTTTTACAAAGTTAACTGTGTTGTACCACTTTTTTTCAAGCTGTTATCTTCCCCACTGACTGAGATACCCTTTTTTGAAATGATACTAGTATTTGGGTATATTTGTTCTTTCAGATTTCTTACTTGGGAAAAAAAAAAAAAAAAACAACTTAGCAACCTTATCAGTCCCCTTTTGCCTGGTGGGAAAACTGGAGCGGATACTTAGATATATAGAAATGAGGTTGAGGGGGGAAAAAGTGGCTGAGAAGAGAAACCAGAGAGGAAAGGATTGGAAGGTAGAAAAATGGATAATTTTTTAAAGAGAATTAACAAATTGTCCATTGGAAAGGTACAAAGTTAGAGTTAGAGATTTGTTTGTGTCTCTGTTCACTGGACCATCTTTTGACCATGCTTTGACCCCAAAGGCCCTGTTTGGGGTGGTTTAGGGCAGTTTCCCAGATGAGCCTAATCCTAAGAATAAGCTCAGATTCTGAACAGGGGAGGCTGTATATCTGGAAACACTGAGAAATGATGTGTTAAAAGACAGATGTATTAGATTTTTTTTCTCTATCCTTGTGCAATTTATAATCCATCCTTACCTCTCTAAGTCTCAAGGTTTTTTTTTACCTTGCCAGTTTTTAAGGTAAATGAGGTAAAAGGAACATGCCTTCAGAGAGTAACTGGGTCTTATTTTTTCAATTAAAGTGTATAATTTTAACTGCGTACATGGGCGTGAGAGTGGTTTTGAGAAAGAAATGAAATGAGGACCTATAGAGAATTTTGTTAAAACTGATCGTCTTCTCAAAGTTCTGTTTCTCAAGTTTCTTATCTGGGTTTTTATGGTGTATGAGTATAAGAAATATTCCTTGCTCTATCTGTTTTTCTTTGCTTATTCTTTTCTTCTGCCAAACCAGCTATTCATCTAAAATCTTACATGTTAAGTCATAAGCTCATGTCTCCAGCAGTGAGACTCTGCATTTATTTAACCTAACCCATTTTGTTCCTGACAAATGTCGGTGACACTGACTGACTTAAAGCACCAAGCAGAGCACCTTGTATTTGAGTCGAGAAGTGTTTACTGATAAACACATGAACCTCTAAATCTGATGCCCTCTTTCCACTGTACTATTTGCTAAAAATCTTGTGTTCTTGTGTTTAAAAGCTTTTAGAGAAAAACTGTTGACTGTTCCTTTGATACTTATTTCTGTATTTTTGTTTGTTTTTTGTGCTAACAAAACCTCTATTCAGAACTCTTGTTTCTGGCTGGGCGCAGTGTCTCACGCCTGCAATCCCAGCACTCTGGGAGGCCAAGGCAAATGGATTACCTATAATCAGGAGTTCAAGACCAGCCTGAGCTAGAGTGAGACACCCCCCACCATCTTTTTTTTTCTTTTTTTTTTTTTGCAGTTTTTGACTCCTTTGAGCTACAGGTGCCACCTGAGACCCCGCTCTTTAAAAAAAAAAATAGGCAGGCATTGTGGTGGGTGCCTAATGTAGTCCCAGGTACTCAGGAAGCATCGCTTGAGCCCAGGCGTCTGAGGTTTCTGTGAGCTGTGACATAACAGCACTCTGCTGAGGGTGACAAAGTAAGACTCCGCCTCAAAAAAACAAAAAGATTGAAAGCTTGTTAACTTGACCCTATATGTTGAGCTGTGCTTTAGCATGCTGCTTTATTTAATTTTCAGGTTATTTTTATTCAAATACCATAAAAGAAGTTGTCCTTTTGTAGTAATTTTCACCAAGGAAGAATTTTTTTTCTGTAATAATTAGCTACTTTCAGTAACTTATTTTTTTGATTTGTTTAGCAGCAGCAACAGAAGAACCAGAGGTGATCCCAGATCCTGCCAAACAGACAGACAGAGTGGTGAAAATAGCCGGCATTAGTGCTGGGATCCTGGTGTTCATCCTCCTGCTCCTGGTGGTCGTGTTAGTTGTGAAGAAGAGGTAAGACCTGATGGTGTCCTGTCCCACTCACTTACCATTTGTGTCACTAGTTTAAATATTTTCCCCCAAGTTCTTTTAAAGTAGGATAAACAATAAGAAGAATTTTAACTATGTTGCCAGCATCTGAGTCTATCGCACATATTTTTTTAATTTCATTTTGTTATTTGTGGTTTAAGTTTAGCTATAACTTTTCTGAAGTTTATGCAATTACATTGAAATTAATGTAAGAATTTAAATTTTCAAATGAAACATACTTGAGATATTCATTTATATTTGAAGTGTTATCATTAAGAATGGCAAAATAGAATTTATTTTGATTCTTGATACTATGAAGTATTTTGTTCTCTTATTCTGTATTTTTCTAAATCCTGGCTACAAAGAAGGTATGAGAAAAATATAAACAGTAGTTAGTAAAATTGTGTATTAAATATTCACAGACTTAAAATTTCAGCCTTTGAAAATGGAGAGTAAATTTTTTTAATTGAACATTAATCTTTTATACGATATCAACCAATATCGCCATCTTCTGGAATTATATGACGATACTAAGACCTGCTAGAATTTGAACTGAACTCTGGGGGAATAAAGTATATTCCTGCTGAAAAACATTTCAAATATATACAGTTTTTATAATATGTACAGTTTTTATTATATGAGCTCATCCGTTCTGTAAAATGTCATAATCTATGAGGCATTATCTGACTAATAACTAATAGAACACTCTAATCTTTTCAATCATGTAATTCGGGTAATGCTTCACTTTGGAAGGACTTTTTCAAACAATCTTTACATGCAGAATACAGTTCTAAAATAGTTTGTTGTATAGAAATGGTTGTAATTTATGAATTCTATTGCATAATACAATAACTAATGCTGCTTATATTACATTAAATCATATAAGATATTATTATAATCATTTTGTACTTGAAATAAAGCATTAACATTATAGATAAGACTCATACTACATGTTTTAATGATTCCATCAGAGTTTATTTTAATATATTGCCTCTTTACAATTATCCCCTTGGAGATATATATGTTGGAGAAGACACATCTGCATTAGAAACATTAGGTATGCATTATAGTGTTTTGTGTTAAATTAGCTACATACGTGCTTTCCCCCAATAGTGCTTTCTCTTGCTGTTGTCTCCCTCTGTGATTGGAAAATCCATCCTACGTAAGGCAAAAAGATCTACACATTTTAGTAATAAAAACTTGCCAATTAAAAAAACCATCAAGTGTAATCTTTAGATCTTCTGTCTCTGTGTAGTTTAAATTTGTATTTGGAGAGTTAACAAGGCAATTTAGAAAGTAAAGCTCCCCAAATGTTGCTTCACTGTTAAAATTATTCCAGTCACTTCAAACATTGGATATGAGCATGAAAGTGGCTTCTGATTATGTCCTCACTCAGTTACAGTTGGGTTCAATGTATCAGTTTTATTTGTCATTTATTTGAACACACTTCTTTTGCTATCCCTCCCTTATCCATGGCTCTCTGTTTTAGGAATATTGAAAAAATAAATTTCCTAAAGCATGCTAAAACCATCACTAAGCAAGACTTTGGAGAGGTCAAACGCTCTGACAGCACTCTGAAATCAAATAATGTAACAAATTCTTTTCCTGGTTCATATCGTAAAGGACTAGATGGATGAGCCTCTCTATTAAAGTATTTAACAATTGAATTTGCATACGTATGCTTTAATTGGTTGTCTTAGATGGAAAGTATACAAGGGCTTTTGCTTCTCTTCCTCACCATCACCCCTATGACTTGGGAAAGTTGCAATTTTATAGATAGGTAAAGTTCCACAGTTAGGTATGTTACCTTCTGATACATAATATATCTATGTTACTGGAGCCCCTGCTAACCTAAGCAAGTTTGTAATGACTTTGGCTTACAGGTAGTGTATGTCACCCATGTATCACATATGCTTTAATCACAATATATTTATTATACATACAAAAAGCATAAATATGAATTGTAACAGTATTGCATTGGGTGTTATCAAGTTTAGCTTAAAACCTTTAGCATATAATACAGTTCATATGTAATATTTATATTAAATACTAGAAAATCGGGTTACTTTAGCATCTTATTTATTGTCTGCATTTCGGTGATAAGTTATTAAACTTCTCAAAATTTGATCCCTCACTGAGATGAATATACATAGGTACATGTATATTTCTTCTGTTAAAAACAGTTCCTTGTATTTTTGGTTGTGTTGTAAAAGAATGGTTTAGAATTCAACTGAGTAAAGTTTTACAGCGAAGGGTACATATAAAGTAAGTTTTTAGGCTAAGAAAAGGGATATTGCATCTTTCAAAACGCAATGTCATCTTCTTTTAATTTGATCGCTGTTGAATTCTTTCCAAATGTATGCCATTTTTATCCATTGACTATGTATTATATTTCACATGCACAGCGCGAACACATCAATAATTCCAAACATAAATTTGAAATTATGTTTCGTTACAGTAAATGTCTGTGTATGCGATCACGTTCACATGCATCTACTGTAGAAATATCTTTGTGTATATATAGTGTACGGTGCACATGTATATTCACAAATATATACACCCGTGTACCATTAAAATACAGTAACTTGTTTATAAAAATTTGGGTATTATTCTGCATATATGATATATTAACATAATGGATCCTTATGTTTGCATCTAAATAAAAATAGGCTATATAGTACACAAGTTCTATGCACAGCTGTTCCATCTGTCACATACTTAGATGGTAATGGATGATATTATGCTTAACTGCATGTTGAAAAATACACAATCCATTTAATTTTTCAATTTTTTGGCAATAAGAGAAATGTCAGCATGTTATTTTTTCCAAATTATGTATATTAAATTTTATTTTTTTACTGCATATCTGTCTGTTTAATTGCATGGCGAAAGAAATCTAACAATGCATGAGCAAACTGAAATGCAAAGCAAAAAAAAAGAAAACATGAATTTTATTTTATTTCATTTTATTTTTTAACGCACATTTTCTGCTTTATTGAATGTGACAGAGTCACGCTTTTCATTCACCATTGCTTCTCTTTTTCCACTGTCTGTGATTTGCTTGCCAGGAGGAGCTACTATTCTTACTCCTACTACCTGTAAGTAGAAAATGGGTGATGTACAACTTTACATGTGTTCAAGATGCAGTATCCCTTTTCAAAAACAAAACAGAATTTTGACAAGTTTGGTGTTATGCAAAAACTATTTTTCCAGACTCTAAAACCGTAAACTTCCTTACCTATTTTGCTAATCTTTTTTAAAAGGGATATTGTATTTCTGTATGTTCAGCTACTTTTAATTTTTATTTACAATTTTCCATAAGTTGCTGTAGTCTACAGCCAAAATCATCATTTATTTACTGAAGTCAGACCTGTAATTCTCTTAGCAATATGGCACACTTCACTCATCTGGTAAAGTAGAGATAGTGGGTGTAAGTCACAAATCTCTGTCTTTACGTAGCACCACGACGATGGACAAAGTGAGCCCTGTGATGTGTTTATAGAAGAACACTCAAAATGCCTTCATAGGAAGCAAATCAGGTCCAATTTGTATGTCATAACGTCTCTGTCATTTTTCTAGGAATCTAGGATGGGTTATAACTTCAGAACACCTTTTTTTGTTAAGGCAATCAGTGTGCTTTGGGGGGAAAAAACTAAATAAGTGAAAAAATAATGATGCAGCAATAATTTTTTTTTCAGTTTTAGAGAAAATAATGAGTTTATTATAACTTAAATAGGACATAGTTATCGAAAACCAAAGCCAAATAAATCTTTTGTCAACCTACTTAGGGACAAACATAGGTATCCCGTAACTCTTTTTCTCTTCCAGAGTCTATGACTCATCTTAGTCTTGGGCTTATTTGGAGAAGGATGGAGAGGACTGTCCATTCTATTTCCTGAGTCATTTTGGTAAACCAGGACCAAAGGAACGAGACAACAAAACATGCTTGGACTTTCTTTGACCAATATTGGCTCCACCACCTTTCAATGCTTAAAGATTGAAATTGATTGTGTTGGGAACATATATCCCCCAGCAGTTAAATCGCTAGGTTAAATTTAAGCTAGCTTTACAACAGAACTTTAGGAGTCTCCATGACTATTACAATCCTCCCCAAATTTTAAGTATTGTAAATGTTTGGCTTCCTAAAATCTGTTAAAAGAAGCAGGTGTAAACTAACAGTGCTTCTAGCTTGCTGTGATGAATCATAATATCCTTTTAAATCATGTTGGATGAAGCCAGAGGTAATTAACTGTACAATTTCATACAATGATGGAGCACTTTCCCCCTTTATGGCCCACCCATACATCCACCTGCAGAAGTTTATGCTGTTGGCTGCCTTGATAATGAAAATCATTTACACATCTGTCAAACTCAAGTAGTTGCAAAATGAATTGCTTAACCGTCCTGAAGAACACATTATGATGCCAGTTGCTGGGGGGAGACAACGCACAGACATACTGGAATCAATAAGTATTTAATTATGAGAGTCAGTAAGCTCCATTAACCATCAGTGTACCTCTAATATTAGAATGGAATTCCCTTTCTGGTAGATGGATAACATTTCTGAGTTCCAGACAAGATAATGGGTTATGCCAATGTTTTGGTAAAACTCAGGCCTATTGACATTTTAAATCATAACTAGAAAGAGTGTCATAAAAATATGCTTTTAAAGGCTACTGAAACATACCTAGTAAATCTACTCTGAATTAGAGGATTTTTTTAAGTAAAAGTAGAAATAAATTAGAGTAGAACTTAAAACCAAATATAATTCTTGAGATAACATTCATTGGTATTGTCATAGTAACTATCGGTTTTTAATCAAAACACTTAACACTTATGTTAATTTTTCTTTGTTTTGTAAGAATCTGAATGAAAGCCTACCTCACAGGTTGCTGTGAGGATTAAGGTATAAGAACAAAGCTGATAATCACAGCTGGCAGATTTTAATAAAGGCTATATTCCCCCATTATTTTTCAAGTAATCTATGTATATAAATCAGAAAAGTAAAAGTCCTTCATTACTTAAAAACTTCAACTTGTCACGCACTTGACAAATTCATTACTCTTTGTTTTTCCCCAGTCATGAAAGACATACAAATGATACACATTTTAAAGTGAAGCATCAAGGTTTAAACTCACTTTTTCTTCTTATTTCGAATGGCCCATCTTCAAAGTGTTAGCATTATTTTGAATCTAAATTTCAGGGAGTGCTGTTTTTATCCAATTCAATCTCACATTTTTTGAGAAATGAATTCATTCTTTCTTCATGCCCAAGAAATGAAGATTGGAAATTATTTCTTAAACCATTTTCTTGCTGTTTTAAAATTCACAAGTGGCAAAATATTTGTGCTATATTCATATTCTCCTAAAATGTATACCAACTCACGTTTTACTGCCAGATAGTAGTGCTCTATATTATAGCACACTTTCTAATGTGGCAATTAAAAAATAATGTAAGCAGTTAGATACAGTATAAGAGCTTAGGCTTTGGAACCAGGCCATTCTTTATTGCGTATTAGACAAATAACCTTGGGCAAGTTACTTAACTCCTCTGGGTCTCAATGAACTTATCTATACAATTAGAGCTCTTATACTTTTTTCAGTGGATTGATCTGAGAATTGAGTTAACAAATGAAAAGTGCCAAGCCTATAACAGGCCTAATTTATCTATTCAACAAGTATTTATTGAGTGCCCGCTGTGTGCCAGGCATTGCTCCAAGTGCCAAAAATATACAGATGATCCTTCATGGAGCACACAGTGGAGGAAACAAAAAGATACTTGCAATGATGTGTGATGAATGTTATTACGGGGGAGAACGTGGTGCTATAGGAAACACCTAGTCATGAACTCGAACCTGAGACCCATGGTCTCAGTCAGACAAAGCTTCTCTAATGAATGCAGAACCGAGGGCATCAGCCAGATTTTAGAGGCAAAAGAACATTGTAGGTTAAAGAACAAACATCCTGTATGATGGCCTAGCCAGGAGTGTCCAAACTTTTTTTCTCTGCTGCACATTGGAAGAGTAAGAGTTGTCTTGGGCTACATATTAAATACACAAACACTAACGAAAGCTGATTAGCAAAAACAAAGGGTCCGTGGCACAAAATCAGCATATAGAACAGAGGCCGCAGGTTAGAAACATACCCCTGGGTCCTAGACCAATGCTTGGAAAGCAGAAGTCTGTAGGCTAATTATGACCTGATGATGTTTAATTAGGCCCATACACTGTTGCAAAAACCAAAACCACTTGGAAATAATCAAGAAAATTAATATAAACAGTCAGGTTCATGGCTTATCTTTAAAAAAGAAATGTAAATCAGAAATTGAACACTGAGATCCAATGCCCGTAGTCACATAAGCTAGTAGCCCCCAAATTGCTCTCCAGTTCTTCACGGTCATTATTCTTTCCTGATGGCTTCTGGCTACTGGCAGCAGCACTCGTTTTTATTACCTGTCTGAAATTTATACGTGGTACGAGATTTTTACCCCCAGGCCAAGGAAAAGAGATACTCTTTCAATGTATAAAGCAAATATTGCTAATAAATGATGCTAATGGCAGTGATGATGTGGTGGTAGCTAACGGTGGTGGGGGTAGTTCTTGTTGTAGTTTTGTCATTGTTTTCGCATAACTAACACTGTGATTGTTATTCTTCCTTTTTAAAAAAATAAAACTATCTCCATTTCTAAATCTTAGATTGTGACTATTTTAAGACAGTGTCAGATCTGCTGTGTCAGTGTATTGTGTGTGTGTGTTACGTACCCCTGAAGCCAACTACTATAATTTGTAGAGAAAAATAGCCTACATTAGAAGGGTCCTCTACACGAGATTAATTTTCTAAAGGAAAAGCCTTTGGACATGAACTCAATCTATCAAATGAGCCTTTGTAGTGCTTATAGTACATCTAGTCTAGTTTAGATACTAATGAAGATGAGAAGAAAACAGCTTATGGTCCAGCTGGGAAATGGTATTCTTAAAACAATTTAAGAACATTTCCAAGGCAGCATAAGCTACTGCCATAAACTTAGTAACATAATGTACCTAGTACAGGCTTTTAAAAGAGAACTTTTTTATAATATATAAATCTCATTGTCAACGTGATTTAAATGTTTTACATACCTTTAATTGCTTTTTGCCTTGTATATGTTTCATGTGTATCATTCACAGAAACCCAAATGTCTTTTACATCCTTGCTACATGAAACAAAAATTTTAACATTTGAGTAGCTCGTAATTCTAATGCTGCTAATTTCCAAATCCCCTAGTTCATGTGCTCTCAGCATTTATAAAGCATTTCTGTACACTGGTTACTTTGCCCTGTGGTTCTAATACTCATTTTTAAATATTTAACCATGTCTGTACTCCAAGATGATGATCATTTAAATAGTACCTTTACATGTCACTTTTAAAATTTCTCTCTATGCCTTTTTACACCGTTTATAATTTCATCCCATGGATTCAGACACATTTGAATTATTCTAGCTAAAAGTCTTCAGAGAAGGTTTTGGACTACAGGTATAAATATTTTCCAAAATGTGTTAAAGTTACACCTGTTGCATTTTTCACTTAGTGATGGTACAAGGGAGGAATAATGAGACTTGGGGGTCTATTTTCATTGGGTGGCTACAGTAAAATAAACTTGAAAAAATAGTCCTGTTATTTCTAAGAATTTCTAAAAGTAAAGCAAAGGGAATAATGACCCCAAAAGAAAAGCAAAACTTAGCCCTAGCTTCAGTTTTTTCCTTGAACTCCTCTAGTAAGGACCTTTTTAAAATGCTTTTATTAATACATAGTGTGTATTGTATTTATTTTAACAATAAGGTACAGGAGATGAGGAGAAGCTTGGGTTGACAGTGTGAATACTGAAATGTCCCTCTGACAAAATAGTTTGATAGCAACCAACACATGTAACTGTTTGAATGGCAAACTTAATTCCTGAAATGACAACCAGTTTTTAGGGTTTCTGAACCATGTCTGTAACTTCATCCTCGGGCTCACCTGCACTGCTTACTGCTGGTGTCAGCTCCCCATCAAAACGCACATTAAGGATTCCCTTTTGTATTTGCCTTGGCAGCAAGCTTGCTAAAAAACGCAAAGATGCCATGGGGAACACCCGGCAGGAGATGACTCACATGGTGAACGCCATGGATCGAAGTTACGCTGATCAGAGCACTTTGCATGCAGAAGATCCTCTTTCCATCACCTTCATGGACCAACATAATTTTAGTCCAAGATGTAAGTTTTTCATTAAAATTTTAATAAGTGATTTTGAATCTCGTTAAGCTCACTTTGAATTCTACACATGCCTTTTGAATAATGAGAATAAGAAAGAAAGGAGAGGCAGACAGAGAAAAGAGAGAGGATGTTACGGAATTTATAAGGATTATTTTCAGGGTTGATACAGGCTTTAGTTTAACTCCAAACTATATAAATTTTATTACTGTACCATAAAAGATATTTCAAACATATACCCTTCAGACCATAGCCTATGTCCATGCTTTAAGTTAGAAATATGTGATTGCCTACATCAAATTAGTTCCTCTCAGAATGCATAATTATTTTGCCATTAGCAGCTTCCTTTGTATAAAGTAAAGTTCTTTTGGCCATCGAGAGAAAACAGTACTTCCGTATGAGAATTATTGTCGTGGCTAAAATACTCCATTAAAACAGTCTACTATGAACTTCCAGAGAATGTCAACACTACAGAGTTTACTAGGGAACAGATTCGTCTACATGCTCTTGAGTGTCTAGTGTGAAGTCCAAAAGTGCTCTTGAATTAGGGACTTTGCAAAATGTAGTGAAATTCTTGCATCTGTTTGTCCATCAGAGGAGTTCCTGATGTTGATGTATGAAGGCAGGGCTTTTAAAATATCCCCCACGAACGTGTTTAACTGCAGAGGATTGGAATAATTATCTGAGATCAATATTACTGTTCATCTTCACATCTCCCGTGAATTTTATGTTCTTGTCTATAATGCCTCTGTTAATTTTAAGTTAATTACATTTAAACTGAATTACCTAACGTACTTTCTTCAAACCCTTAAGTAAAATGGATGTGTGAGGGAGGCAAATCAGGCTCATCATGGGCCTGGCGGATCTTAGGTCTTGTAGCATTTGCCATCGATCCCGGTGTGGAAAACATGGAAACAAAGAAAGAAGTTACCTGTGAAAGTATTTTTTCCTATATAAATGACAAACATTTTAAGTAACAAAATTGCAAACAGAGTATTTACAGGTTGTATGTTGTTATGTCTTTTCAGAGAGTGATATTTTTTCTGAAATGTTCAGCTTGGTAAAACTTTTCAGTAATTATTGGCCCTATCTGCAGCTTGTCATTTCCCATGATACGTATCTGCACCAATTTAGCAGTTAAAAATGCTATATATGAGTCATTTTGGAATGGAGGCATTCCTACATTCCAGTATGGATAAGGCCTTTCTGATCTATTTTATTTTTATTTCACTATAAGATAAATGATAGAGAATGACATATGATACTATTATTGTCAAAAGTAAGTTTTGCTAAAAATATAGATTTATCATCTCTCTGACTACTTGATTTAATATTTAATCCTTTGCAGGTTTCAAAGCATTTCAGTTCTCCCAATTTTCTATCTATCACCTGTGTTAGGAAGTTTGAATTCAGCAGTGTAACTATAAATATCCTCTTATGAACTTAGAGAAAGGATTAAATCTATTTTCCGTAGTTAACTGGAAAAAAATTAATTTGGAATGAATATGAGATAATTACTTTTCTAAATACCTTACGTTTGATAGATCTAAAATGCCTGGTTTCTTTTCCCCTAATTTTATAATCTTTACGGGTATAATGTCAAGTTGAGTCTTCTGGCTTTTTAGATTGAACAGAATACTGAACTATAATTATAGATACATTTTTCTTGATGCTTAGAGATAACTCAAGCTGGAAGAAAGAATTTGACTTTTGCAAGATATAGTAATCAGAGAAAATTTAATAGTTATATTTCTTAAGAAAGCATACATCTTTTTTAAAAGAACAACGATATTAAAATACAACTTTAGAGCAATATATACCTTCATGAGCTTTGTTTTCCTACAGTGCCCAATGATCCACTTGTTCCGACTGCTGTGTTAGGTGAGGCTCTAAATCTTTATCATCTTTTTTATTGCATGGATCACATTTTCTTGCATTTGTCCACATGGTAATTACTTACAGTGCAGGAAGCAGCTTGATTTTGAAAACATCCAGCCGTAATTTTATCAGAAAGCTGTGTTCAAACCAGACAGATCTAGTGGATGTCAAGTTAGTGAGGTACCCTGTTTTACAGAAGTGCCGCATCCCTTAATATTTGACTAATGTCAACACATCCAAGTTATTAGAATGAACCTACAGACACAGGTCTCAGGGACCAGTGCATCTTGAATAATTTTGTCCATGTAAAAAAATTCTACCTGATAGAAAAGGATTTTCTAAAAATTCCTAGTTCATAGCAAAAACATAACACATTGTAAGTGAGGGCTATGATTGTATGCATCTTTATTAGGAATTTACAAATATGAGTAAAGTCGTTAGAGAGCTGATGTGGGGTTCGGCATCCTGTGAACCTTAGATAGTAAATAGTGTTGTCTCTCAAGAAACTTAGAAACCACTTGGTTTACCACTATATAACATCGCAGACAACTGTTATTGCTAGCAATAATTAATCTTTTTCAGATGTAAAATTACATTAATTTTGTACCTAGCTATATTTTCAAGGGTGGAATGGGTTTCATTTAAACGTGTACCCTATTCCTCGACTAATTACACAACTGATGACCATCTTGCCAATAGGTTCACAAGTTTCTTACCAGATTTACCTATTTCTAATTAAGATTTAAGCAAAGAAATAAGGAAATTGTCAGATACATGAATCTTAAAAATTCCCCAAGTGTCATGTTTGTTCTTTATGTATTTCTTGCGAACATAAAACTTACATTTTACGTATTATTTTTGTTATCCATATATTCAATAATCAATTACATTTTTAAAATACTATGAAACTATACAAGTAAATCAGTTAAGTAAAAGACATGTCTCATTCCCTAAAATAAATAATTAAAAGTAGGATTTTATAATTGATCCAAAAATACATATTCTAAAAGACTCTGAATGTCAGGGCTATCTGTGACGGCTCTCTCTCTCTTTGATGTTTATACCAATAATGACAAGGAAGAGAACAGGGGGATTTGTCCCACGAGGTGGCCTGCTCACGTAGGGAGGAGGATAAGTAGTGATCAGTGGGAGGCACCAAATGCTCTGAAAATGTCATCTCTGTTGAGCACTGAACAGTGCTTTAAGTATCAAATTGCTAAGTAAATTTCAATTAAAATATTGTGAAAATCTTTGGGAAAAAAAATAGTTGCCTAAATGTTAAAATTTGTCATAGTGATTTTCTGAATGTGTACACAGTTAGGTCTAAGTCTCAGTTCACCCGGGGATTGACAACATGAACTCATAAAAACACTTTCCTTCCTTGGTTCCTCATCCTTAAATCAGTATAATAATTCCTACCATGCCTTTTTCATAAGGTTTTAGAAGAAAAAATGAGAATGCATAGGTGTTACCAACAATGAACTTTGAACAATTATTTTAATAATTTTCCCTGTGAAAAGAGATTTCATGTTTAAGGACGTCTAGATTGAACACATAAAATCTAGTTATATAAATGTTCATCATGCATTTTATTTTATTTCATTTTGATACTCAAGCTGGTTTTTTTTCTTTTTAAAGAAAATGGCATTCTCTACAAGCTAAATCTCTCATTAATCATATTAGATGTAGAAATGACTTGTTGCATTTTTTATCATTCTTGAGAATGTGGTGTTTACAGTTTTGCATCCCGTTGCTTCTGTTATTTATGCTAAAATTTCTGAAATTAAATATTGCTTGATATTAATATTTACATACTGACTTTAAAAGGGTTTAGAAGCCTTTCATATTGATTCATATTTTTCTTTTGTGTTTTACTGCTTCATTGGGTTTAAGTCCCTATCACAGGTAAGTGTGTTTCAACGAACTATAGAAAGCCTTTCAATCAAGGATGCATTTGAAGTTATTCTTAAAATGTATAATAAGGATAATTATTAGTACATGTACCCTCACTGCTAGCCACATTCTTAGGTGGCTTAATGAGGTGGAAATGTTTTGAGATTAATAATTCATATGTGATGATTTTAAAGACCTAACTGCTCATTGTACTTCTGTATTAAAGCTTAATGCAAAACAAAAGGCACTGTCTATTTTCATATGGGGACACGATCATCTGTACGATTTGGAATATGGCTGAATTCTGTGTTTCTCACTGAGCCTTTTACAATTGTAAATATTCTGCTGCTCCAGCAGGCACAGGGTGAGCTCTGGGGCTGCTCCTCTGAGCCCCGGCCACCTTCTTCCAGCTTCAGTGCCTGCATTTTGCCTCTCTGACGTTACCTGTTCTCTTTACTCCTCATCCTAAACTGTATATTCTGTAACAGTGCCCAAATCAGTTGCTTCCGAATTTAACCTTGCTGGGGAGATGTATATGTTCTTTATGTTAGCCTGTTGATTGTAATATTTCGACAAAGATAGATCAATTGATTGTGATCTCATAGTAAGTTCTCTCTTTATAGTAAGAAGCGAGAACTCTCAGGAGTCATGTTTGCTGGCAAATGTTTGCGTGTAGAGGGGTGGGCAAAACCTGAGTCAAAGGCACGCATTCACTTGGGTGGTTAGGGCACAGCAGAATCCACCAGGGATTCTTAGATTAAATATGGCATTTTTAGGAGTGAATGAAGAATTGAAAAAATCATTCAGCTTAATAAGCGCGAGTAAAGATAAATGCAATCAAGCTGAAATTATAGAGGCACACAAATCTGATTGTAGGGTTCTTTTTTTTTTTTTTCCTTCTCCAGGAAGAAAAAATGTTTATCATGGGGACAACAATTCATTTTTTGCCATATCCTATTTGTAGAGTTGGTGATAGAACAGGCAAATGTACCAGCACTTGCAATATGTTTAACTGTTAATTAAATATCATTTTCTACAGTATGCATTATCATTAAAAACAAAAGTTCCCCTAAAAGTGTACTTTCTCTTCTGTTAATGAGTATGGCAGTTATAATGCTTTTCTAAATAACACCCCTTAAAACATTTGTTTTTTATTTATTTTTTTTTGAAGTGGTAAGTTTAAATGTGATAAGTATGAGCATGCTTCTAATTGTAACAATTAGTACTTTGGTCATTAAAATACTGTTTATTCTTCATAGGCAAAATGTTCTTGTTCTTTTCTTTCTTCTTATGACAGAAAGAGAATTGAAAGTTTCTTTTCATTTTAGGCTAAGAACACAATTGGGATGAGGCCTACACTTAAATGCGGGGGTGGTCAGGGCTTCAATTGATTTCAAGTAATTCATTCATTGAAATATTGATTGAGTGACTGCTAGGTACCAGGCATTAGGAATAAAAAGAAAAATGTGACTCTGTCTCCACAGAACTAAGAGAAGAAAATAGACAAGTAAATAAGTGATTAAATATGGGGCAAGTGAAAGGACAATCAGCAGAATAGGAAGTCATGGGAACATAGAGAAGGAGGTTTATGACTCAGTCTGGGTGGGCCACGGAAGAATTCCGGGGACATACCCACGTTTTACTACAGACATACCCTGATTTCTCTTCCACAGTGGCCAGGGGACTCAAAATCTATTTGCAATAAAAACAGTAATAATAAATCAAGGGGGCAGTGATTGAACATAAATGCACGAGCAGCCTGGCTGCCAGACACAGTGGAGTTGGGGTGATCTTGTAGAATGCTTGCAGTTCCCAGTCCAGAGCGTGTTGTGGTAAGGAGCCCCAGGTGGCAGAGCACCGTAGGGCCACCAGGCAAGGGCAGGTTTGTGGGGATGGTTGCCAGGGTCGGGTATCTTTCTGAGGGAGGTTGGGATGTGGGTGGGAAGGAGTTTGTTCAACTTAACGGGCAGCGAAAACATCTCGTTGATTGACAACTTCATACTGCTTTGATTGCAAAAGCAAGAAAAAATAAGAACTCAGTAAAATCTCCCACTTATACTTTTTAAAAGTGGCTCTGATGTCTCCCTGCGTCTCTCAGCACCTGAGGTCCTGCTGACCATGGCTTTCTCTGACCTCAGACCTGGAGCTTTGTCTTCATGGAGCTGCTCCCCTAGGCCTAGACCGTCTGACAGTTCTTTCTCTTCCTCCTCTTATCAGAAAGATCTTAAGTTCTTAACATCTTTTTGGCATGAATATATATTAAACAAGATAACTTTGTCTCTTTTTTAATCTTCTGGAATCTGAAAATTACCAGACGAGAACCACAGCGCTACGGCAGAGTCCAGCCGCCTTCTAGACGTCCCTCGCTACCTGTGCGAGGGGACGGAATCCCCTTACCAGACGGGGCAGCTGCACCCAGCCATCAGGGTCGCTGACTTACTACAGCACATTAATCTGATGAAGACATCAGACAGCTATGGGTTCAAAGAGGAATACGAGGTGAAAACTTCAGTACTATATTGAATTTGATTTTTAACTATGATTCTCATTTTTAACTATGATTAACATTTCTCCTCCTTTTAAAAAGAAGTAAACTTCTCTGTAGTCTCTCCAATCCAGTGTTTATGAATGTACAATCAAATGTATCTACAGGACAGAAAAGAAAGCAGCGAGCACATCCCTGGCCTATATCCAAATGCAAATTCGGTATAAGAATTTTTAATGTGTAATTTAACGATGCCCATGTAAGAGACTTTTAAGCCTTTTGTCCCCCCAATCAAAAATGAAGTGGCAAAATACCTCGATTCCCGTTGTACCATTATAGCTTCTGTCATTTGAATGACGTAAGTAGCAGGTTACATCTCTCTATGTTTGCTTGTTGACCTTCTGATTGAGAAATCAGACGAAGCTTTGTGCTCTCAGTGTACTACTTGCCACTCTCAGTTTAATTCCCGGGGATTATTGGCTGCTGGTTGCCGGTGGCTGGGATGAAAAAATAGAACACCGCAAATCTGGTAAACAGCACATTAAGAAACCAAAAGAGGACTGTAGGAGATTCTTTTTTCAATTTTGTTTCCCCTTCCTACTCAAACCAAAATACCAGGACTGATGGTACAAAGGAAGTGATTTAAAACTGAAAATCCAAATAAACATAATACAGCAAAAGGGGAAAATTGCCCTGCCGTCCTCCACTTACTGAGAAAGGCTAGTCTGGGCATGGAAGGAGGCCAGTCACGCCCTAGTCACACACCGCAGTACCCACACATGTAAAGTGAAAAAATGCAAGCAATAGGTTGCTTTTAAGACGATCCAAAGTGCATCCAACTCCATGAAGAATCTTTTAAACCCTACATTTTTATCTACAAATTACCTGTATACCTTTATTTGGGAGTGAAGAAAGATTTCTTTGAGTTTTGAAAATTCGTTTTAGATATATCCCGGAAACATGATACCGTGGTAACCAAATAAGTGCGGGGAATTAGAATATTCTAGCAGAACTAGTTCTTTTTGTTCGTTTCATGTGTATTCCTATGTACCTCACTTCAAAGACTGATGGCTCTTTGAAGACCCCATTTCCTGTGTTGAGCAAAGTTTAAGTTTTTCTGCAAAAAGAAGTCTATACTCATATTTTAAATTGCTGCATATAGTAATTAAATCGATCAAAAAATTCATCTGTTCCCAAATTCTGGGAGAACTCTTTTTAATTTTCATACGGTCCCTTGTTGTAAAGACTCAGCCATGATCTTCAAAGAAACTGAAATGTGATGTCCTGCATACGATTAAATGAATAATTATGGAGAGAAACAGGTTTTCTTTTTACTGTTATAAATGCTAAAGGATGCACATTTAAATGATACTCAATAAAAGTAAATTTTTAGTTTTTGATGTACTGTTATTCAGTATGTTTTTAAAAGAATGATGCTTTTTCTACCTCTATCTCACAAAGATATAGCAATCTTAAATTTGAAATACTTTCAAGGTCTCTGTGCTCTAAAGTTATTTCTGGTCTTTATTTTGAACTCAATCCAGTCCAAAATGAACAAGTATGAACCTAACAAACCAGCTTTGACGTCTGAGAATGAAACTTGTTTACTAGTCTAGGACTCCCTCTCTGAAAAAAAAAATGGTTTTTGCTATTTAGATCTTCAAAACAGATAAAGTGATTTTTGAAAAAGGAATTAAATTCAGTCTGCTTCCTTGCTTGCTTGCTTATTTATTTATTTATTTATTTCCCCAGAGCTTCTTTGAAGGGCAGTCAGCATCTTGGGATGTAGCTAAAAAAGATCAAAATAGATCAAAAAACCGATATGGAAACATCATTGCATGTAAGTTCTTATACAATTCTTAGTGAATGTATGTATTATATGTACAGATAAATAGCAAGTTCCTTATACGGTTTTAAACTTTAAGAGACTCTAACAGTGGCACATCTGTTTATGAAGCAATCTATTTAATATTAAAACAGCATTGGCTATTAACAGTGATTCTGAAATTGCCATCATCCTCATTAATTAAATTGACTCAGACTCTTCCCCCTGTGGAGATAACTTACTGCTTGATTTCATGTTTGTACATAAATACATGGGTGTTATTAAATAGCTAAGAATATCGGGATAATGAAAAAGAAAGCGCTTTTCTGTTGTAAATGGCTGTATCATTCCCACCAAACATGCTCAAGGTTAGAATGTCATTCTTTCCACATATATTTAACTCTTAATGGAGCCAGTGTCTGAACTGCCTTGGCTCCATGTTATTTATCACTGGGGGCTCCTTCCTGATTAAGTCTTCATTATACTATATGTATACAGGATGAGTAAAGACATTATCATACAGAACCACAGGACCAGTAAGGAAAGTAGCAGGTAGCTTAACTTGTAACTAGCTGCTGATTTACTTAGACCGCTCTAATCGGAATTTAAATTATTTTAAAGTATCTTATGAATACATCAAAATTTAACCTTGACTCTCAGGGAATAAGAAGTTGAGAGCAAGAATTCAAAATTCACTTTCTAGTTCTGTGGTTCATTTGCTGTGCAGAGGAAAAGGATCCCATCCATTGAAAATCATGACTAAGAAGCCAAATTAGAGGCAAGTTCAGTCCTTTAGGTGAGTCCATGACTCAAATGATGATTTATCAGACAGTATCTTGTCTCCTAAAAACTGCCTAACTATGGAGACCCAAGTTACTAAAACTTTATTCACAGACTATTATAATCGTAACCAGTAACGAGCTCATTAAGGTTCTTATCTTTCTTCAAATGACTAGTTTGATGTTAATGTCCTGCAGATAGACTATCAGCAACCCCTGAATTACTTGGTCTCTGCCCAATGACACTGTCTCTAAAAAGGGGGGAAATTTAACAGCTTGTTTTTTATCGTTAAACATTTTAGACGATCACTCCAGAGTTATTTTGCAACCCGTCGAGGATGATCCATCTTCAGATTACATCAATGCCAATTATATCGATGTAAGTAGGTTTATAGTTCAGGATGTCCATTTTACTGGCTTATTTTATATAAACTTTTTGCTTGTTATTGCCTATAAAGTGATTGATAGCTTTTTAAAATAAAGAACAAACTGTACACTTTTCCTTGTTCTACGTCTTAGTACTCACTGATGTTGTTGTGCTTTCTTTCACATCTGACTTTGGTTTGGGCTGTAGATTTGGCTGTACAGGGATGTAAGTACCACTATATGTAAATAACAGCACCCTATTGTCAATATTTAATATAAATATTCTTAATTACAGTTATTACTAATGCTCACTACTAGTTATCTCTGCATGCTTCACCTAATTAGCTTCATACAGTACATCTATGTTCATTTTTTTGTAATGCTTTTTACATGTGTAAAGATCTATTTTACCTCCTTCCCTTTTCTTGTTGAGAAAAACAGGACCCTTTTTAGCTTTGACAGTTTCTTATGTACTCGAGTTTTATTTGTTGATGATTTCTGTTTCTGGCTTTTATTCTTACCCTTCCCCAAACATATGTGAGAAGCTGGATAGTATGATGTGTATTAGTGTTGCTGAAATTTTTGTTTTTACATTTGACTTCGGATGTTAAAAATGAATAGGGATACTATTTTGTGGTGTGTGATATTGGCTTGTAAAGTCATAAAATTACTCAGGCAAAATAATTACCAAATCGCAATCGTAAAATATACATCTCACACATATATATCGAATCACAAAAAATGAAAGTGTTTTGATCATACGTTCTTAAATTTTGATTACATACGTATCTACCTGCAAATTATTTAAGGAAAAATAATGATCATACATGAAATATTGTAAAGGAGGCAATATCGTATAGTCACGTAAGGAAAACAGGCTATTAGGTCATCCTACTTGGCTCAAATCACACTGGAGCTCTTGGGAATGTCACTTTTCTCCATGTGCCTGTTTCCTCCTCTTTACAGTGGGGACAATATCAGTAGTACTAACTTCATAGTTTTGTTGTAAGAATTAAATGAAGAAATGCAAGTTGAACCTCTAGCCCAGTGCTTAGCACATACTTGGCACTCATTACACTTCAACTATTTTTGAAGAATCCAATTCTAGGAGTGCTGAAGTGAATCTATTCAAAACATTTATAGGTATAAGACGAAAAGTGGAAGCATTAAGAACTTCTGCATATATGTAGATATTTTTATATGTAAGAGAAATGAAACTTAGGACCCAACTTTTTCTTATTTCTGTAAATAGGAAATAATTTTCATCATATCTATTAATTTCATGCTTTATAGGTATTTTGTGAATTGTAATTATTTATTTATTGAATTATATTAAGTATAGTATATGAGTGTATCCGTTAAATTTGTGATCATAATCTTTCATTCAACATTTGAATTTATCAGCCTCATCATTATGGAAAACTAAGTTAATGGTCCATTCTTTAAAAGAAATCAGCAGTTCTCTGGCAAATTTATAATTGTTCTTACCTATTTAGTTCAGCCTTGGTTTTCTGCCAAGACAAGCACTGGACCTCTGTTGCAGTAGTTTTATGATGTGCACAGTAGGACTAGATTCTAAAGAAGACTATTTTCCAATCTTTTTCTTAGGACTCCAGTGTGTTTTGGCTGATTACTATACAATATGATCATTTTCCCTCTCCCATTATTTTATTGTTCTTAAAAGATATAAGTCTATGCTTCTGTAATTGGCATATTTTTCACTGAGAACAAATGAAATGCTCATAAAGCTTGAAAAGAAGTTTTTCCATAAAACATGATACTATGTCGATACATTAAGAAATAGAAATCTTCCAAAATCACAATAGCATAATGTTCACTGTATGAAATTTTAGATGGGAGATCTCAGTTCACATGCACTTATATGTGTATTGAGTTGCCTATACCAAATGTGCACAAATTATACCGCAGACCTAAACCCCTTCGGTAAATGCACAACAAATTCAGAACTTAAACCTATCCTATCATCTACATTTTGCAACTCCATGATCTCTTGAAGTTCAAACCAATTGACAGCAATTAACAAATTATCCTCATCAACAATCGTTTCTTTATGGAAACAATATTAAATGTTTAACTGCACAAGCCTTTTGGCACACAGGGATTAAAAAGTACTGAACTTTTGTTCAGGATAAGATGCATTTAAAAAAAAATCTTCTTTCCCTATATATGTGTGTACCTATAATTATGTGTGTTAAATTAATATTGCACATAATTTCTGAGCATTTTGTAGGACAGGAATACGATCTGAAACTCGCAGCAGGATTTTGATTTGAAGCACACATGCGTTGTCCAGCTCTAACATTGGAATGTTCTGTTATTTTCTTTATGGTTCTAATACGTCCTCGTCCATTTGTAATGCAGTGTGTCGTATTTTTGGATGATAGAATGGGAATTAGTAGTTTTAAACACAGTTTTTACCAGGAATAAATGACTAAAGATGACCATGAAGGCATAAACATTTTAGCGAAATCAATCAAACAAAATCTGTGAGGTTATTCCATAGCAATCCAAACTCAGTTATACAATATATATTCGAATCAGAGACTTTTCCTATTTAATTTTTGTTTTATGCTTACCTTTCAGATAGCATAGGTTTGAGAAGTGAGCTATGTGTTCACTACTCATTTACAGACTTTTTACTATAACTTAATCTTAACAGGTGGTTGTCTTCATCTTTTTATGCCTTCATTCATTTCTTTCTGATACTGAAATAAAAGGATAACCAATTTGTTCTCTTATTTTAGGGCTACCAGAGACCCAGCCACTACATTGCAACCCAAGGTAAAATGTTGCCTTGTTAAATGTTATAGAATAAACAAAGCTACTTATTCACCCATATGGTGTTTTTTGCAATTTTATCCTAATTAACTGGGGGGGAAAAAAAAAAACAGTTCTTCTAATACTCATTTGTATAGTACAATTCTTTTTTTTTCCAGTTTTTGGCCAGGACTGGAACCTGCCACCTCCGGCATATGGGGCCAACGCCCTACTCCTTTGAACCACAGGCGTGGCCCAAGTACAGTTTTTTTTAAATCTATCTAGAATTTATATAAAGTTAAGGTTGATCTGTTTTTAATTAATAGTAAAGACAAAGCTGCTGGGAGTTTCTGTGGTTTGGTCCTTGTTATCCAGGTATCACAGAGCACTAGTCAGGAATACTGGGCAGAGGAATTACTTATTTTTTGACAAAAGAGAATAGAGGTTTCATCTTATACAAGGTGACTGTCTTCTTGCTACATAGGTTAATAGCATCTAAGACCAGTACTGTTATAATGAGGTGTTATGCTGTCTTCCAATACTTTTTTGACAAGTAAAGACTGAGACAAAACAAAAAACTAGAGGGAATTTAGTCAGGTTTATTCTGCATAGAATATGAAAAGAAAGTAGAAAAATCTTGTCATAGTAGTACCCTGGGGAATAAAGTATCTAAACAGGAAAACATTTAGTGATTTCCCCAGATTTACTACTGGCCTTCAGAAGAGAAACGTGCACGTCTATTTTATGTAAGGAGAAGAAAACAAAAGCTGTGTTTGCTCTTTTGACTGAGGTCATTTTGTAAGTGTTTTCACATATCTTTGGAGAAATAGAGTTTAATCATAGACTCTTTACAGTTTAAAAGATCAGCACTGGTGGTGAACAGTATTCTAGTTTTACGGTATTGAGTAGAGTACAGCCCACAACATGTTTTGGCCATTTGGAGGTCCTAATATAGTAGAACCTCTGTAGTAGATCACTTTCCTACATTGCCCACCTCCTTAAATTGACCTTAGTTCATAGACCAGATGTGCATCTTCAGTACATATCAGTACGGTAAGCCTAGTTCTTTATGTTGACCACCTCTTTCTGTTGACCAGTTTAGATGGTCAGCTTACAGAAGTTCATCCAATTAGAATGTGTCCTTGCGTGAAAGAACATGTTTCATTAACCCATAAACATGCTATTTATAAATGATGGGCATTATGTAATTGGTAATAAGCACTGTTTGGTTGCTAGTAGCATAAGAGTTCCCATTTTTCACATATACTGAAGATGCATTAAAGGGACCTAGTGACAGACAGGGATACCCCCTAGGGCTATTATCTTCTAAATTGGAAAGTATAGGAGGTGAATTGGGAGAAAAAAAGCAGCTTGTAAATGTCTATGTTTTTGCCTATACTGTGAATTTAGATAGGAATTGAATTTAAGTGCTTTCAATAACATTTTGTGTTAGACTGTTAATTATATTTTTCTTTTATTTAGTTTACTCTGGCTCTTATCTTAATTAAACTCCATACTAACTCTTCTATTCCTTTGATAATGTAATGTTGAAATTAATTTTTTCATAGGCCCAGTTCATGAAACAGTATATGATTTCTGGAGAATGATCTGGCAAGAACAGTCCGCCTGCATTGTGATGGTTACAAATTTAGTTGAGGTTGGCCGGGTAAGAGAAAAAAAGGATTTTCTTGTTTTTGTCATAAAAATGAGTATAGTTGAGAAGCAACATATAACAAACTTAAAATCGTATATCATCCTATTATTTAAAAAAATATATACTATATTTCAAGGGAATGCTACTAAATAGGCCTCTAATGGCTAGAAAATTATTTGATTTTTCCTTGAGTAATAAAATAAGCTTTGATTTTTATACTAGAATCTAATCACATGATCAGGCTTGTGTATTTTTTATGAGACTATGCAAAGTCTATTTCTTGTGTAACAGATATTTTTTCTCATTTATACATTTTTAAATTCTAGTTTAATTAGGACCTAAATAGTTATCACCAGAATTAAATCATCTCTGCTATTATGTATTATATATTCAGATCTACTTATCTCTTTTTGTCATTTAGGTTAAATGCTATAAATACTGGCCTGATGATACCGAAGTTTATGGTGACTTCAAAGTAACTTGTGTAGAAATGGAACCACTTGCTGAATATGTTGTTCGGACATTTACCCTAGAAAGGGTAAGTATCCTAAAGTTACTATAAAAAAAACCAAAATTGTATTTTGGCTGAGTGTGCTAGCTCATGCCTGTAATCCTAGCACTCTGAGAGGCTGAGGTAGGTAGATTGCTTGAGTTCACAAGTTCGAGACCAGCCTGAGCAAAAGCAAGACCCTGTCTCTACTAAAAATAGAAAAACTGAGGCAAGAGGATCACTTGAGCCCAAGTTGGGGCTACAGCTTGAGACTCTGTATCAAAAAAAGAAAAAAGAAAGAAAGAAAGAAAAGAAAAAAATTATATAAAAAATGCTTTTTCTCTTAAAACCATTGTTAAATTTTGTTTCTATAATGCAATAAAATCTGTTCATACATTTATTCATCCCAAAATATTTATTTGAGAGTTCACCTGTAGGCATGTTTCTAAACCTTGGGGCACACGTTAAAATCTCTACTCTCATGGATCACATAATCTATGGAGGAGAGTCAGCAACACAAATGTATAAGCTAAAAGATCCTATATCATGAAAAGTGCTATGAAGAACAATGTTGGCACTGGAAATAGGGAAAATTACTAGGGATGGAAAGTAATGGTTTATAGTTTTAAAAGGATTATCAGGGAGGGACTTGTTCTTGAAAAAGTAATGTAAGTAAAGTAGGTGGAGGTGTAGTGGGTTATTTCCAGGGTAAGAATGTTTCTGACAGAGGGTAGAGTCACGTCAGAGGCCCAGGGACTTACGTATATTCCTGTCAGTAAGACAACAAGCCCGGAGGCCAGAGTGTTAGAGGAGAGGTAAGTAAGGGGAAAGACGTGAAGTGAAGTAAAAGAAATCTCAAAGCCAGGTAAGGGAAGCCTGGTAGACCATTACAGGGATCTTAACTGGTATTAAAAGTGAGTTAGGGCTCGGCGCCTGTTGCTCAAGCGGCTAAGGCGCCAGCCACATACACCTAAGGTGGCGGGTTGGAATCCCCAGCCCGCCCGCCACACAACAATGATGGCTGCAACCAAAAAATGGCCAGGCGTTGTGGCGGGTGCCTGTAGTCCCAGCTACTTGGGAGGCTGAGGCAGGAGACTCGCTTGAGCCCAGGAGTTGGAGGTTGCTGTGAGCATGATGCCATGGCACTCTACCCAGGGGGATAGCTTGAGGCTCCATCTCAAAAAAAAAGTGAGTTAGGCAGCCACTGCAGAGTCTTGAATCTATCCTGAGGAATTTATTTAAAATACAGTGATGTGACAGGCGGTACCTGTGCCTCAAAGGAGTAGGATGCCGGCCCCATATGCAAGAGGTGGCGGATTCAAACTCAGACCCAGCCAAAAAATTAAAAAATAAAATAAAATATAATGACTTAATTTATAGTATTAGAAAATTATGGGCAACCAGACATAAAGGTCCAGCAATAGAGAAATAGTTGCATAGTATTTCACAAAAGATATTTGTAAGTAATTCTATGCTATGATAATAAGAGGAAATATTTATTTGAAAGTAGCATTATACAACATAATTATGGGTATCACAACTATATGTATGAAAATGTCTTAGACCACTCAAGTAATATAAAAATAAGCAATGATACAGGAGAGTTCAAAAAGAATTTGTTAACCTTGATTTAATGAACAACTAGATCCTGTAATTATATAAAGAAAAACTGTGGAATATCCAGTCTCCTTCACTTTGTTCCAGTCTTTAAGTCATGAACTTTGTTGTAAAAGAAAAAAACAAACCTGAATACATAGAAAAAAAATGAAGGTGTTTCCAAAATCCATTAGAAAACAAGAACAAATCATTAACCAATGAATACACAAATTAGCCTCCTAGAAAACACCAACTCCTCTCCTGAATAAATCTTAAATGAATGACTGCCTCAAAATAAAAATTAATATAGATCAACAATTTTATATCAACATTGACCTCAAGTTATCCACTAAGAAAAATGAGTAACTGTAAGTGATTTGTATTTTGAAAGGTAGTCTGAAATCATGTGAAAATTATAAAATTATAAAACAGGAAAAAAATCAATAGACTAAAACAAAGGAAAAATTAAATATCAATATAAAAAATAAACACAATCAAAACATCAAAAAGCTAGTTCTTTGAAAAGATCAATAAAGTAACTAAACCACTACCAATTCTAAGTAAGGTAAAATGAAAACAAATTATACAATATTAGAAAACACAGAGATTTAACAGCAGATACACTTGATATTTAAAAAGTTGTAAAAATACTATATACAAACTTAAAAACATAGTCTTTAAAGACACTGATTTTTTTCTAGCAAATAATAATTCTCAAAAATTGGCCCAAGATTAGTTAGAAACCTGAACAGATGGTAGCAGAAAATAGAATGATTGTTAAAATTTGCCATTGAAATTACACTATGATTAAGGTTTCTTTATATCCTTTCAAGCAGCAGTTCTCAACCTGTGGGTCATGACCCCTATGGGGGTCGGAAAACACATATTTCTGATGGTTTTAGGAACCGAGACACCACTCCTCTAGCTCCTGCATTCGTCTCCAGGCAGGTCCACCCACATGCAGATAAGCCCACTTATGAGTACCCAGTGTGATGACATCATCTGTATTCAAGGATCACGGCATTAGGAAGGTTGAGCACCACTGCTTTAAAAAATAGTGAATGTCTATGTTAATCAAACTACAGGAGAACCTCTGTAACTTAACCACCCAAGAGACAGTAACAAACTGGTCAACATATGGAGGTGGTCAACATGACAAACTTCCATTAAGTGCATATGGTATGTGTCTGCCCTATGAAATTAGGTCAACTTAAGGAGGTGGTCAAGTAGGGAGGTGGGCAACTATAGAGGTTCTACTGTATTTAAGTCATAGAAAACCATTAAAACCAAAATATAATTTAAAAGTTAGCATAACAATAAGAGAACCAGATCCTTCTCTCTCCCTCTCCTTCCCACAATGTGTGTCTGTGTACACACATTGCAAATCATTTTCATTCAAGACAGTGTAAAAATTCAAAGTAAGATATTGAAAATTTGACTCTAATAGGGAATTAAGAAAATATCACATGATCTATCATGATTAGAGTGACCTGATGTCCCGATTTGGGCAGAACAGTCCCACTTCTCAGCGTGCTGCAGTGTTTTTAAAAAGTTCTGATTTTTGGAAAGAATGCACGAACTGGCTGGAGAACAAGAAGGGAATATACGGTTTTCGCCACCATATGGCTATTTTGCCAAAATATGAGTTTTATATTATTTTTGTTAATTTTATAATGTTAAACTGTAATAAATAATTGCTGAGAAGTGATTATCGAGAACTGCTTATCAAAGTTTGCATTGTTGTCAGGCCCTGCCCTGCCCTGCCCTGCCCGTCCCGGCTCCTGTCCCGCCTTACAGATGTTAAAATCTGGTCACCCTAATCATGATGTTTCCTAATGTAAAACTATTTCAACTGTAGTAGGAAATCTAGCAGGAAATCTAGTAGGAAATCTCATTTGCTACAACTGACATTATGTTAGTACATTAAAGGAACAGAACCATGTGATTTTATTAATAGAAATGCATTTAATTTTATTTGGAAGATCTTCATAGTAATACTCTAATCAGGAAAATATGGAGATTTCCTAAACGCAGTAAAGGTAATTTAACTATAACTGGTAGCCTGCATGTTAAGGAATAAAAACTAAAGACTATCAGTTTATGGAAATAAACTAATAAAAAGACCGTTACTGCTTTTAGAAACAGGACTGTGATGTAGGTAATAGTTTTCACTAGCAGTTGACATTTTTGGAAGTTTCAGCAAATGAAACAAGACAACAAGGAAAAACAATGTGACTATTAGAAAAGACAAAATTATTTAAAGTTGACATTATTTTACATAAAGGAAACTAGAAATAATAGTTTCAAATGGAAATAATAAACGTTTGTAGCTGATTCAACATAACTATTCATAGATTATACCTTTTCTCAACATCAGCCATAAGCAGAAGTAATAACAATAACAAAAAATGCCCAGATAACAGAATACATGTAACCAGGAAGAAACAGGTCCTGGTTGAATAAGAACACAAACGGGTATTGAAAGAGACAAAATAAGATTTGAATGAATAGAGACATCCACCACGTCCCAGAATATGAGAAAACTTGGTATTAATATCACTGGAGTTTAACCTTTAACTTTTTCTTTTTGTTATTCAGAACTAGAAAAGAGTGGAATTCTAAGTGGTTTTTTTTCTAACCACATATATGAAAACTACTCCAAAAATTATATAGAAAAAGAATAAGGCTTATAAACATGTATTGCCAAATATGAAAATTCACTAAAAGGAGCAAGTCCTCTACGTGTAATAGAAGGCTAGAGGGAGCAAGGCCAATATAGCAACTCTAGTGAAAGGATTAATATAGAGATGACGTTACTGACTAAAATCAGATCACCTATCAATTAATGACCTTCCTAAGAATTAAATTTAAAAAGTAGCAAAAAGTGATTTTTTTTTTCCTATTTGAGTGATTTCATTGGAACTGTGGTAATTGTTGAACTCTGCTTTGTGTGATGTACTGTGCTAGGGACTGGAACTAAAAGGGATTATTATTCCTCCACATAAGATAGATTTTAAAGATAAACTTCCTCAATTCTATTTATTTATTTGATTCTGCCATCATTGATTAAATAAGTGAGGTTGAGTTTTCCCAGATGGCTCACAGTAGAATTAGATTATGTAGATTATAGTAGGGTTTTTTTTTTTTCGTCTCTTTTTGCTACAACTGTGTATTCTGTGCATTATTTCCTGTATAGCCTCCCAGCAGGGCTACCCCAATCTATAGGCTTCTTTAAAAAAAAAAAAAAAAAAAGGGAAGGAAAATACACAGTTTGCTTTGAAATACACTTTACAGGGTTCTCTCAAATTAAGCCAATAGGAAAAGAGCTGGACAGTGAATGCTTCACTTCTTTCAGTTTGTATTTTTGTTACTATAAATAGTAATCTGCGTGCCGGATTATTTCACAGAGCTAAGAAAAATGGTTTGCCCGAAGAATAGTTTAGCTGCCTGTTTATTTTCACAAACCAATCTAGAGTAGCACTGTCCTGGAAAATCCCTACATGCTCTGCTTCAAAACCATTTTCAACATGGATAAGCAAGGCATTAAAATCTCTTTGTGAGGTGGGAAGCTGGAGAGCTGCTTTTATATACCACTTGAGAACTCAGGGCCGGGGGTCAGCAGGGCAGCGTTTCAGCTTTCCCGTTTCCTTCTTTCCCCTAATAATTTTATGTGTTGTCATTCCCAGTCTGAAACAAGCTGTCAAGGTAAATAAAATTGACCCAGACTTAGAGAACTCAGTAAGACTTCTAATTTTCTTTCTTTGGCAGTTACCTGACAATAAAGGTAAGCTCCTAGGCCAGGTTAGGCCAGCATCCCTTTTTAAAAGAGGTGTGATCTTTGGTAAATGTTTTTGTATTGTCGATCACATCTGTACTCATAATTGTGTTTAATGGCTTTATTGGGGGTTCTTTTGAAAACATTTCTTTCCTTCTCTGCACAGAGGGGATACAATGAAATTCGTGAAGTTAAACAGTTCCACTTCACGGGCTGGCCTGACCACGGAGTCCCGTACCACGCCACGGGGCTTCTTTCCTTCATCCGCCGCGTCAAGTTATCCAATCCTCCCAGTGCTGGCCCCATTGTCGTACATTGCAGGTGAGTGGTGGTCCGAACGGCCTTGACTTTGTGCAGGCAGCTGTTTGTAGAGTTATCAAGACGACTATTTTAAGCACAAAAACGAATGTGCCTTTACAAAGTTTCAGCCTGCGTGTATTTCAGATAAAGTAAAAGAGCAATACCATAAAAGTTAGCTGTTAAGTAGGCTGTAAACGAGGGACTTAAGAAATACATACATTCATCCTAATGTGAGCAGCACCATCCACAATTATAAGTGTAAAAACTCTGCCTTTTAGTGGCAACAGCTGTGGGTTTGTGTTTTTTTTTTTCTTATCGCTTTTGCAAATCCCATATTGTATGGAATGGTAAGTTGAAATAGAGATTTCTTGCCACTCTAGAAAATTCCCAGTGGAATCCCAGCTTTTAAAACTAAATTTGAGACATACAGAATTACTAAATGGCCTAAATTGCAAGAATTTGTGTTGCAAAACAGCTATTTAAATTAAAAAAGAAAAAACCCATCCCATTAGAGGACCTTGAAAACCACATCCGTGAGATTCAGCAAATATATGACAAAAACTGAACATTATATCCAGACTTTCTTCTGATTAGAAACTTCTTTTAAAATAAGCATTCAGAGACACTAAAAGCAAATTACATGGCCTCATTGTGAGGTGTGACCAGAAAAATAAGTGCTGAATCTGAAAAGCTTTCTCTAAATGATGTTACATACCATTTTCCAATACCGTCCCCTCCACACTATGCAATAGCTTTTACTTAAGCATTTTGTTCTTTCTGAAAATCCAACCTATTCAGGATTTAAATAACCATGTACAAAAGGAGGGAGGGCCAGAGAATGAAATAAAAGTAAGACATCCCATAAGATTAGATACTAGGTACCCTGAAATAAAAAAAAAAAAATCTTTCTGTCGTCCTCAAGAAATCTGATGTGCTGCTCTTCAATTACTTTTCTGTCTCAAACCCTGGGAACAGTGATTGAGAAGATGGTAAGGGATAAAAAGAAATAGAGATAGCCAAAATATCTTTTGCTTAAATTTCTAAAAGAACAAGGAGTTTAAGTGACCAAACCTGGGTAACAAAGAAATAATGTGACTAGCCCATCTAAGTGCTTAGAAAATGAGATAAATAGGTTTTCCATTTAAGGGTTTGTTGATTTATCATAGAGGTTTACTTTCTTGTGAATTGCTTGCTTCAGAAGTGCTCCAAGAGTCTCAGACACTCTCTTGAAACAAAAGTGTCATTTTCCACGTAGACTCAGGTATCTCTGAATTTATGGAAAAGAAGCATCAGACTACAAAGTGAATTTAAAAAAAAAAAAAAAGAAAGAAAAGAAAAACATTATCTTCTTTGCTCCAGTGATGTTTATATTTAAAATCGAAGAAACATGGTCCTTGGTAAAATAAACACAGCATAGGATGACTCAACTTTTGAATTTAATACAGTAAGATAATGACTGGCTTTGTGTCCTGCTGAGAAGGATATTCTACACACAACACCGCTTTTCATTTTCCCTTCAGGTCATGATTCAAATAGTCTTTTATACTATTGGTCCCCTCCCCTCTGATAACCATTATTGCATCCCCCCCCCCCCCGACCCTTAGCACTTGCTGTGAATATGATCCCTCAGATTTTCTATTTAAAGGTTTTGAAATTAATTTTCTGTTGCTTTGGTATCTGCAAGAGTCTCTGTAAGACAGTGAGCCGGGATTTTTGCATTTGTTGCCAAAGGACCCACTACTCCATGAATATAAAAATATTTCGATTGGGAGTTAAATTTCAAAGCATGACTCCACCACTTGATAAATTCCATGAACTTGAAATTGTGGGTGTTAAATTTACATCAAATGGAGACTGAGAGAGCTAAGAAATCTGAATGACCTATATACATTATTTTCAATTTAGAAATAATTTGGAACTCTTGTCCCAATCTTTATACCAACACAGGTACTCTACATGAAGTTATTTGTACATTAATAAGTTTTCTACTCAGCAGGTATAAATTATGTGTGTCTTGTACTTCATTAAATGAATTTGATTTCACCTGACAGTGGAAAGGGTCTTTATTAAATGTTATAAAGACAAACATGCTTCCTATATTTCTTCAAATGTCATTTTTTTCAGTGCTGGTGCTGGAAGAACTGGCTGCTACATTGTGATTGATATCATGCTGGACATGGCTGAAAGGGAAGGTGTTGTTGACATCTATAACTGTGTCAAAGCCTTAAGATCACGCCGTATCAATATGGTCCAGACAGAAGTATGTTGATTTACTTCTTGTGCATTCTTTTAATTTCTTCCACAAACAAAAAAGGAGTTGCTTTTCATATATGTTTGTATAATCAATTATTAGCTCCTTAAGTCATATACAAAAATACTGGTATTTCAATTAATATTTCCATATAGAGAAAATTCTTTGTATTCTTTACCTTTGACAATAAAAAAAAGTTTTTATGAAAATAACATGAAATTTTCTTTTCCTTTCCTTTGATAGGAGCAGTATATTTTTATTCATGATGCCATTTTAGAAGCCTGCTTATGTGGAGAAACTGCTATACCAGTCTGTGAATTTAAAGCTGCATATTTCGATATGATTAGAATAGACTCCCAGACCAATTCCTCCCATCTCAAAGATGAATTTCAGGTATTAATTATTTTAAAGGCCTCTTTTATAACTTGTTACAATTTGTTCTAGTCACTAACTACTAATTCTTTAAAGGAAGGTCTTTTAAGTCAACTTTAGAAACTTTGACCCTATTTTAAGTATAATATAATACCTGTCTCTTTCATTATGCATATCATGGAGTCACTTTCATGTTAATGAGTTCATCTCTGCTGTATTTTGAAGGGCAAGTAAGTTCAGGCTTAGGAAAGAACATGGGTAAAAGGCGTCATAAAAGTCAAATTTGGTGGTGATTTGTGTGTATTTATCAACCTTTTTTTCCCATGCAGTTTTATGGAATTTGACCTTCTGTGTCACTTACAGTGTGAGATCCAGCACATGAATAGTAAGAGCTAAAATTTGTCCTGAACGTTGTCTTGAAATAGTCCTGAATGTTTTCACTGTCCCTTAAGACATCCTGAAGGTGGATGAAAACAAAGTCAAGGGTAGCTCTAGAAACTGAATTCTTTGACTCTTGGCCCAGTGTTCCTTTCAGCATGCCACACGTTTTCTTCAAGGGTGACATTCCAGGACACAATTACAACTGATACCATTTCCAGCTTTGATGAAGGGTGTCATCATCCTGGACCTGCCTAATCACATTGGCTGTGGTTGGCAATGCATTTTGCTGGTATCTTGTTTCTTTGTCACTTCTCAGGCTTCATCAGCTTCAATTGCCATTGCCTCCCACAGATTCTTCCCTTTCTACCTGGCCTCCTACGTACTTGGTGGATCTGTGTTACACTGTTAAATGGGTCACTTTCTTTTAACTTGGGTTCCCTTTTCTTTTTAGACTCTGAATTCAGTCACCCCTCGACTACAAGCTGAAGACTGCAGTATAGCGTGCCTGCCAAGGAACCATGACAAGAACCGTTTCATGGACATGCTGCCCCCTGACAGATGTCTGCCTTTCCTAATTACAATTGATGGAGAGAGCAGTAACTACATCAATGCTGCTCTTATGGATGTAAGAGACTGCTCGCTTTGTTACTGTAGAGTGCTGTGAAAGGCTGGGCAATGCAATTCAACACCAGCTAGTTTTCTTTACCAGGAAATAAAAGTACTCGAAAGAGGGAAAATGGAAACTTTCATGGAAATACAAATCTTTTAGAGCATGATTTTAGATTTTTCCCTACAGGGATTCTTACAAAGTATCATTTCTTATAGTGTGACTATAGATTTGGAGGTTGACTGTCAATCATTATCTCCAAATATTTGTATAGGACATACTGCAGATTGTAGAAGAAAATCATGGCTCATAGATTTTGAACATAGTAAGGAAAGAATTTTTAAAACCGTAGAATGCCACATCCTACTGAATTTGTTATTTTGGGAAATTTTCAATAATTTGAAGCTAACTTGATTTATTGGCCATTAATGAATAAAGACCATGTGTGAGATCAGACAATTAAGGTAGCAAACTTATCCTAGAAAGATTGCTACATACCTGAGCTGAGTATCACTACGGCCACCTTCCGAGTACTCTCCTTGGCCATCTGGTGACTGTAGCAATATTCAGCAGTGATGTCTGTAGCACTTTCTCTAGGATGAGTTCATTAACCTAATTGTCAGACTTCATATAACTGGAGAAGGCATAGATGATATCATGTCTATACATCCATGATAATAAGAACACTGGGTGTTGCCTGTGGCTCAAGGAGTAGGGTGCTGGCCCCATATACCAGAGGTGGCGGATTCAAACCCAGCCCCGCCAAAAACTGCAAAAAAAAAAGATAATGGGACCACTGCCTTGCCCCATTCTAGTCTTTATAAACTGCAGATGCCCAGAATATCCTCAGTGTGCTAATAGCCCATAGATAGAACAACGTGGAAAGAGAGTTTAAATTAGGTCTTTGGCCCCTACTTTGGTTACCTTGGTAAGAAGCAAGAAGGCTGTCAAGCTCAGAATTCTTATAAAAACAGTCTATAGGCTTCATTTCTAGCTTTTGTCATTTGACAGTTGAAACCATAGAGGTCAAGTTTCATTCATTCTCACTGTAATGAAGATCTCTAAGTTGTGCTTCTATTGTGCTTCCTAAAATTACCTTCTGTAAATTAGTAGCCTGGTGGTAGAGACTTAGAAAAGCCAACATTCTACTTCAGAGACTAGTCTGGCCAAGCCTTTGTTTCTTTTTTACAACTAAAGAGCAGAATATTCCAAAGGCAAGCTCATATGAGAAGCTCTCATCCTTGCTGTGCCCAGAGTCTTGCCTGGCCTGTAATCACATCCACATAAATCACCCTGGATTCTAATTATGCCTTTTCTTCCGCAATTAAGCATCTGGAAAGGCAAATGTGCTAAACACAGGGACAATACACCAGACATGAGTGCTTTAGAGTTAGAATGAAAAGGAAAGTGTGAAAAAGTAAAAGAGAAAATAAGACTATTAGGAAAAATATTAATATTTTTGAATTTATTGTTTTTGGCATCTTTGTCCAATTTTTTTGCAATTTCAGGTTGTTTTCTTTTCAGTACAACTATCAAACCTTGTAATCTTCCTGTTCCTATCTTCTACTTAAGTCCTCTGTGATTCAAAAAAGATATATTTCGCAGTCAAAAGTTGTCCTTGGATTTACTAGTGTAGTTGAACCTTCAGAGAAGCAAGGGCACTTTGGTTTATGGGGACAGGGCTTATCACTCAACACTCCCTCTCCCTCTGTACACTCTATCCCCATAATTAGGGGTACACCCTTTTGCCAGACCTGTAAAGAATTAGGAGGTAAGGCCAAAGATTCTGTGATTTCATAGCCTTATGCTCCTGTATTTGGAGAGGAATGAAATAAGAAATCTTCAGTTTTCTCTTTTATCATCTCCTCCCCATGTATTTCCCCTTCTTTTTGACTCAGAAATGACTGAATAGCTGCTCTGACTTGTCTTCCGATGAACTAGACGTTTAATTTTAAAAGAAAGTTTATTTCCTTCCACTCTTTCCTCATGAGCCTTCATACCTTTCTTAGGAGGAACCCACCCCAGCAGCAGATACAACTTGATAAGGTTTTGAAAGTCTTTAGAAGCAGCCAGATAAATTACTCTTCAGTCTTCCATGGAATGGAATACCATGGTTCTTCACTCTTCCCAAATGGTAGTGCCATCAGTAAAGTTCAAGGGTCAGTTTCTACACTGATATTTAAACATATGAAGGAATTAATAGTAGTAGGATATGATTGAGTTAGGAGATTACTGAAAATTTTTGTCAATATTAAGGAAATCTATCTCAGTTAACTGTTGACTTTTTAAGAAATAATTAGATTAAATAATTACGTAAAAACATACATTTCTATTTCACTATAGGCCATCAATCTGCAGAACAACATACTGGCCAGGCAAGATAAACAGTTCCTTTAATACCTCTCCCTATGGAAAGAGACAATATGTTGTGTCCTATTCAAGGGGAGCTTGATAAATAAGAAAGCCATCTTGGCACCTTGTGAAGCCAGGAAGTACATTGATGTTGAGTCTCTTAGCACTTGAGAATCTTAAATGATTGAAACTGTCATTCTGACTGTTGATATGCACTAGAAATGCCCAGGAAACCACGGGAAGTGGATTGCCCACAAGATGTGCAGAATGTGCTGGTAATACCATATATTATATAATACAAAAGCACCAACATTTGAGGTACCTGTGGTTTTTCATATTTGGAGAGCATAGTCAAAAACGGTTTTATTTATACAGACATTCACACACATGATTAATGAATAGAAAGACTTACCTGAGGGTTTGTGCTTACTTTTGCCTTCAGCCTTTCAGGGATCAAATAACTTTGGACAATTGACATAGCCTATCAGATACCTAACGGAGGATGACTTTTTTTGTTTTTTTGTTTTTTGAGACAGAGTCTCATTCTGTCACCCTCTGTAGAGTGCTGTAAAATCACAGCTCACAGCAACCTCAAACTATGGGGCTCAATCTATTCTCTTGCTTCAGCCTCCAGACACCCGTCACAACATGTGGCTATTTTAAGAGCTAGGGTCTTGCTTTGGCTCAGGCTGGTCTTAAACTTGTGAGCTCAAGCAATCCACCCTCCTCAGCCTCCCAGAGTGCTGGGATTATAGGTGTGAGCCACCGCACCAACCCCCATGAGTTCTTTACTTTCTTCTTGGATGTTTGTCCTGTATTTACTTCTCTCAACGAAGTAAAAATTCAATTCTAGACTTGAATTGGTTTGGAGACAGTGAAATCTTCTCCCAGGATGTTCCGTAGGTCCACATCTGTCACTCTGCAGCTTAAGCAGCAGACTGGTTACATCTCTGTATTTATTAAATCTTACTGCTCCTACATTGGAAGTATATCGAATCAGTTTGTGCAACTGACCATGCATTTTAAGTTCTTATGTTTCTCCATCTACTTTGTTTCTTTACAGAGCTACAGGCAGCCTGCTGCTTTCATTGTCACACAATACCCTCTGCCAAACACTGTGAAAGACTTCTGGAGATTAGTGTATGACTATGGCTGTACCTCCATTGTGATGTTAAATGAGGTGGACTTGTCCCAGGTCAGTGGCTATGGTTTGCTTTTGTGTACTTGTGCATTCAATGAAATAATAATAAAATTCTAAAATCTGCTTTGTACTACCCTAATTAGAAAAATTAACACTAGCTTCTTTTTCTTTCAAAATCATCATCTAGGGCTGCCCTCAGTACTGGCCAGAGGAAGGGATGCTACGATACGGCCCTATCCAAGTGGAATGTATGTCTTGTTCAATGGATTGTGATGTGATCAACCGGATTTTTAGGATATGCAACCTAACAAGAGTAAGTCATGGGTGGATCGTTCTACTAGACTCTAGACTAAGCTCAACTAGTACCTAGATAAAGCCTAACCATGGTGGGTTATTCCATTCAGACAAGAAGGAGAGTAGAAATAATAAGCATAACGTAAGTCATCCCAAGGTAGTAATCCTCTTATAGTAGCTTAGTTCTAGAACAAAAAAGAACTCCAAATACAGAGAAGTAGAACTGTTAGGAGCTAGGTTTTCCAGTCAGTTACTAGACTAAAGTAATTCTAGGCTCAGGTACACTGGCTCAATCAAGTTTTACAGTCTGGGCCTCAGCCCTGAGCATATGAGGATGTATCTTAAGAATAAATCCCATGTTTTATTAGTATCACTGTCCAGCCCTAAAAAGGCATGCAACTGATAAATAAGAGGGAGAAGCGTTACCTTGGGAGGAAGGGCTGCGAGGGATCAGCCAGGACAGGAAGGCTCCGTGTCATTATTCCATGTCCTATGTACAAGAGGCAGGAAGGGGAAAGTAAATGACCGTTCTTAGAGAATCACCATTATTGATTCTCCTACCTACAATTTCATCTTCCTAATTGTCCCATCATCTGGCTCCACCCATATCTAAAGACAGAACCAATGCCTTCTCCCAGCAGCAAAGAAACAACTACTCTGTCCCTCCGAAGTCTTTATTTCCCTGACTCTTCATGCACTTTGTGCTAATGACAGATTAAATTTCAGGGTCTCTCTCCATCAAAAAAAGATAAGTAACCATGTAGATAAGTAACCAAGTAGCAAAACTGAATTTGAATTTACTAACCAAAGTAGCAAACTGAATTTGAAAAGAAGCATTAGTAACTTTCATGGAATTAAGCTCTTTTTAAAGGGAAAGATTTTTCTGTTTTTTAAAGCACCAGCTCTATGTAGTATATTATTTTAAATGTAACATTAAACTTTTAAACTACTAACTTTAACTTTTCTATTTTTCTGAATATTATTACATGGTTGTTATGTGATTAAAATGTGTGATTAAGGTTGTCGTGTTTCAGGGTTTTTCATATCAAAATGACTCTATGTGTGTCTAGTTAAGAAGTCTAAATGTACATGACTACAAGCAGAGGATAAAATTATATCCAATCTATTGCTCACTTCAGTGGAGAAAAAAGGATAACTTCAATCATGTCGTAATATTCATGTGGATCCTAGATGTTAATTTAAATGGAATCTCATTTTGTCTGCACATCTGTCACACTGCCATTCTAGTAATATTTTAGTTGAGAAACCATAGCTACTGAAGAAAGTAAGGCTTGACTGTTAATTATACTGTTTATATAAAAAATAGTCTAGGAATAGGAACTCAAATCTGTTACCTTTTTTGGTCAGCATCTTTGCTTATTTATTTACTGAACTTCCTGTTTGGTGTTCATTAGTACATGATTTTTTTGTTCCCCATCTCATTATTTAATATCATTTACTTAATCAAATATTTAGTATGCGCCAAACAACAAGTTGGATATGATACTACGTAGGGCCTGTATCCAACTAAAAGATACTTGAGCCCTTGCCAGTGAATCTTCTGATTTTCTGATACGGCTTCCTTATATATTACATGTAGGGGGTCTGACAGTTATTTTTGCAAACTCATCCTAGAGAAAGTGCTTTGAAGGATGGACGAGGCACTGGCATCAGTGCATAGCTTCTCAAGGGGAGTACTTCAGAGGTGACCATAGTGATATTCAGCAATGATGTATGTAGCACTTTTTCTTAGGATGAGTTCACAAATTTAATTGTCAAGCCTTGTACTCTTCTTTATGTTTTTATTTGGAGGTTTATGGCTTTGATTAATTCTCTTAACAGTATTACTCTTTAGAAGGTATATACAAGTTTCTGGTAATACAGAGTCTGGAAAGAGATTTCCTTGTCTTTGTTGAATCTATATTTTATTAGATAGAAAAACATGACTCAATTAATTATAAAATCATTTATTTATTAAAATGATACATTTTTCAGAGAAAAGGTAAAGATACAGAGTAAGGTAGTAAGTCCAGTAAGGTAGCTGGGCAATCTGACATAGCTGTGCAATCAGAGATGACTTCTTTGAGATAGTTGTATTTAAGCCAAAATTTGTACAGTCATTAGGAGTTATTTGGGAGTAAGGTAGCCAACCATTCTCATTTGCCCAGGACAGAGAGCTTTTGGAAGACACACCAGCTGTTGGTACTAGATCAGAAAACTCCCAGGCAAGCCTGGGACAAGTTGGTCACTATTTGGGATAAAGAAGGTCAAGCAAGGAGGAAGCATTCAGGGCAAAGGGGACAGTATATACAAAGTCCCCAAGACAAGAAGTAACTTGGCAAATGGTTTAAAAGTAAGCCAGGAGAAGGTTGGGAAAGGAGATGGATCACTTCAGGATTTTTAAGTCATGGCTCAATTTAGATTTTATGCTGAGATCATTTGTAAGACATTAAAACAGGGAATGACAAGATGGTATTTGCATAATTGGAATGAATTGGAAGGAGGTCAGAGTTTATTTAGGGACATCAACTAGGAGGTAATTACCATAACTCATAATTGGGACTGCAGTGATGTCAATGGTTATAAAGAGAAGGAAATGAATTGGAAAGTTGTCTGGGAAGTATAATCATAGGAACTGATGACTGGACGTGGGGTGTGAGGGAGAAGCAAGTGAGAACCATAATCCCCAAGCTTCTTGCTGCTGTCATTCAGAATGGTTTTGTGCCAGCTTGGACATATATGGACTTGCATCAGCCAGACGCAGTTCATTGTGAATTTCATTTGTGTGGTATTTCATATGCACCTTTGACGTTTCAGTCAACATTCAAGTCCAGACTTATTCACATAAAGATACTTTTCCCTCTACAGCCACAGGAAGGTTACCTGATGGTGCAGCAGTTCCAGTATCTAGGGTGGGCTTCTCATCGGGAAGTGCCTGGCTCCAAACGGTCATTTTTGAAACTGATACTGCAGGTGGAGAAATGGCAGGAGGAGTGCGAGGAGGGGGAAGGCCGGACCATCATCCACTGCCTGTGAGTAGGCGGCTCCGCCTGGCCATTGCCTGGGCTGCGCTGTTTATTTTCTCAGTAGCCTTTGCATTTTCTGTATTTCTTTAATATCTGACTCATATCTTACAGACCTCCTGTAGACACTGTTCTGAAACGGTCTTCTTCGTGATTCTGTCATTAGCTACTAACTTTATTTTTTTCAAAATATTGATTATTACATAGTTGTTATATGATTTAAACTCTTTTGACCCCTGCTGTGAACAACCTGTCTAGCACACACAGTTTACAAGTATATCAGAATCCCAAGGTATCTGGTGATAGCAATCTGTGCCCTAGTATACTCCCAAGTGTGAGTCACCGAGCCGTCTCCTCTCTGCTCTGGACGCACGTGTGCCCACATGGGAAACAAAATTAAGACACAAATGGAAAACTATTAAAAACACAATATTTTCTTTGATCAAACATACCTTATTTTGTGACCCATGGTCACCCAGCCCTGCTAACTAAAATGCCTTTGCTTTCTGCGCTTTCAGAAACGGGGGCGGGCGAAGTGGCATGTTTTGTGCTATCGGCATCGTTGTTGAAATGGTGAAACGGCAAAATGTCGTGGATGTTTTCCACGCGGTGAAGACACTGAGGAACAGCAAGCCAAACATGGTGGAAGCCCCGGTGAGTGGCGGAAACATGGGCTGAGAGCGCATCTGGGAGATCAGCCAGTCCTAGGCATGCTTGTTGATTTGACATCGTGTCCACAAAAGGAATCAGATGCGAAAATGAGTCGTAGGGACTTTCCTGTCTTAACTGCTAGATTGCTGGGCCCCCTCCCACAAAATTTAATCATATCACGAAAACTGCTGATAATGAGAAAAAAACTATTTTCATTTAATTTAGGAAATTTATAGGACTTTGTTATTATAGCCAATAAGTTTTTGCTCCAGTAAACTCTGGTGAATGACCCTTAGGATAAGAATAAATCCTCCTATCTAAGCTTTTTTCTCATTTATTTTTATGTCTTAGATTTCTTAGATATTGAGTTAATTTGTAAAGCATTCGTCTATGGGATATACTCATAAGCACTCATTGGGTACCTTAGATGCCCAATGTTCTTAAAGAACAATTAAAATTTATTTTTGTCATTATTCATAATTCTTCGTTTTCTGCTCAAATTATACATTGTTAATCTGTCATTGTTGACACTGTTCAGCTCTTACAACTAAAGTACAAAGTTCATATGATGGTGGAATTTGTCAGGGCTCATAAGATCAGAGCACAGCTTAGAAAATAAGAGCGAATAGGCCTTTATCTGGGTGAAGCTGTATGCAGAGTGTGAAAGTCAAGCTTGTCTAACATATTTTACTTCTAAAGAGAATTGTCTTCGGGTTCTACATATGTGCATCGGGGCTCAGGTAGCTGTATGGTTCATGCTCACGGAAAAGTAAACCAGAACAACCAAGGCATTGGTGTTGTTTGCCCTACATTTATCAAGATGATCAGATAACTAAAATGAGCAGTTCACTAAACCTTTAAAGTATTTTCACCACTTCCTGCTCATGGATTGCTCACACAGAAGGTGCGTTGCTTCCTGAGAGAAAATCTGAATCTGAAGACTTAGGTTTAGACTGTTTCACTTTTACAAGTGGTACCAGACTCCTGCTCTTTCTAAAGTCCCCTCAAAGAGTCTTAAACCCCTCTACTCCACCGCAGTGCTCGGGGTTATTGCAGTTGTCTGGACGAGTTGATGTTGGTTTGGAGTGGGGTGCTGGCATTGGAGAGGGGGACTAAGGTGGATTGGGGGGATTTTTGGACTTTGAGGTGGAATTTTCAGATCTTCTTACAAACTGGATGGATAGTGGTTGTCTTTAAACTCTTGGCAGTTTGAATATTTCTTAATGTAAACTGTGCCTTCATGTTTTAAGTCATCTTAAAATCATCAGTGGGATCACTTCTAGCTCTAGAATTCAATGTTTGCCTCCAAATTTCACTTTGATTTCTCACCTTTCTGTTAAAAAAAAAAAAAAATCTATGGTTAACTCTGCCATTCTAAAGCCTTCCAAAGAGTTGCTGTTTTCCTTTTTTTTTGCAGTTTTTGGCTGGGGCTGGGTTTGAACTCACCACCTCCAGTATATGGGGCTGGTGCCCTACTCCTTTGAGCTACAGGCACCACCCCAAAGAGTTACTATTTTAATATTTGTGTTCCATATATCCTGATTAAACATTCCACCCCCTGATGTTTAGTTAGTGTTGTATGGAGTTGAGCTGACAAGTTTGTTAAGGACATTGAGATTGTGGACAAAATTACTGGAGATTTCTTAAAGAGAAAAAACTGTCTATGGGCATATTTTTGTTCTTTGGATGCCCTTGCCACAGTGGTAAGTTAATAATTTAAGTCATACCTCCATTATTCCATAGGTTAGGGATGACAAAGACCTTTTAAGGATGTTGTATTACTCTAATTTCTTGCTAGAAAGACCTGGAAATTCCCTTTAGAGATAATATACAGGCTGGGCAAGGTGGCTTACACCTGTAATCCTGACATTCTTAAAGGCCAAGGCAGGCGGACTGCTTGAGCTCAGGAGTTCAAGACCAGCCTGAACAAGAGCAAGACCACCATCTCTACCAAACTAGAAAAACTACCTGAACTGTAGGCACCTGTAGTTCAGCTACTCAGGAGGCTGAAGTGAGAAGAATGCTCAAGTCCAGGAGATCTGAAGTTGCAGTGAGCTATGATGCCACAACACTCTAGCCAGGGCACAAGAATGAGACTGTGTCTCAAACAGAAAGGGAGGGAGGGAGGAAGGATGCATTTTAGACTCTTTTCAATTTAGCCCAAATTTTACCCATTTAGACTGAGTTAGGAAATTTTAAATGTTTTACATCTTATAAGTCATAACTTATAATATGGCCTTTGAATGCTTCTAAATTTCTGATAATGGAGCAAGTCTATAGATGAACTTAGAGGAAAGGCAATTTTAACTCAAGAATTGTATTACCAATATGTCCTCTTAAATATAGGAGTAAGTTTTTAGGTATAAATAGGGCCATGAATTTTAAGAACCACAAACTATTCTTGAAAATTTATTAAATATTCTAATGGACAAAACTGTTCCAAAAATTAAGAACTTTATTGCAAAATGGATGTTTAAAATGATAGGCTTTTTTTTTTTTTTTTGTCCTAAGGAAACAGTCTGAAATGGGAGGGGATATTTATGCATATTCGTCAAATAGAGAAAAAATAAAAAACCTAACAACTCATATGTTAGATTTTTATGTAGGATTAAAAGAGATATTAAATAATATAGGGAAAGTCTATAGGAGTGTTATAAGAAAGTAAAATACAAAATATTTGGAAATATACATGATTATTTATTTATGTTTTTTTTTTTTTTCAGTTTTTGGCTGGGGCTGGGTTTGAACCCGCCACCTCCAGCATATGGGGCCGGCGCCCTACTCCTTTGAGTCACAGGTGCCACCCGTAATTATTCTAAGATTATTATTTTAACCATGCACTGAGAAAGGACAGAAGCAAACTAAGGCGATATTTTAACAATTACTTTGGATGATAGAGCTGTAGTTCTTTTTCTACTTCTTGATATGTTTTTGTGGCAGGAAATTTTTCTATAATAATCAGATACTACTATTATAATCAGATAAAATTCTGGACTTTCAAACATTTCGATAGAAAACATGGGGCAAACATAAATGTCTTTTTAACATCAACTTCTGTTTTGTTTTTTTTAACAAAAAGATGCAATAATGTTATTTTTATTGTAAACCAATAATTTATAATTGTATAAACTTATGGAGTACAAAGTGATGTGATAATCTATCACAGTGTGGAATAATTAAATCAAACTTGTCAACATATGCATCAAATACTTAACATTTTTATGGTAAGAACATTCACAGAAATCATTAGACTTAAGTGTAAATATGTACGTCCAGATATGAATCATGGATATAGAAAAAAATTTATAACCCTTAAATAATTTAAATTGGCTCTCCAGGGTCGTTTTGCTTGTTCTGATTTCTCATTGGTCTTTTTCTTTGCTTTCCTAACCCTTCTGTCTTGACATCTTTAGGAGCAGTACCGTTTCTGCTACGACGTAGCTTTGGAGTACCTGGAATCATCTTAGTCAGGGGAGACTTTTGAAGGAACATCCACGCAGAAACACGTTCGTCTGTTGAGCCAGCAGCTGTCGTACCTGTTGTACTTGTGCAGAAAGATTTTAATGTGGGGGGTGGGAGACTTTTGCATTTGAGAGGTAAAAGTATTTTTCTTATGAAGTTGTGTATCTTAATAAAAAAGGACTGACTTAGTTTCTATGACTGTATTAAAGCATCCACATTTCGTGCCGCACAAATTATATTTAATAAGAACCAGATTCAAAGGCGACCTTCCCGGTGTTTGTCCAGTGACTGTGCAGCCTCTCCTTTCCCGGTTTCAGCCGAGCAGCTACTGCGTGTTGCATGAATCACTTCTTTCTAGGTGGCGTTTCTCTCGCTTTTTCAAATGAATCTTTAAAGGAAGAAGGAAGAAAATCTGTGCAGAGTCCTGGTAAAGTTCCTTTTTTATATGTTTCCAGTGTAGCAGATCGCTATATAAATATATAAATATATATAACTGGCTTATTTTCTTTTAATGTGCAATGATGGCTGGATCATTTTAAGTTCTTTTTAGAAAATAACATAAGCCAAAGACTCAAGTGTAAATATGTCTATATGGAGAAAGCACATTATATTTATTGGTTACTTACATTCCTTTTTTGATGGCTAAGATACTACCACCAACATGATCATTTTTGTTTTTTCCTGAAGAAAGCGTTTTTCTTTAGCTAAAATCAATTGTAAACGATTTTTTGTAGATTATTTTTTGTATGTTTTAGTGTAACTAGAGGATAAACTTTTTATTCATAAACCAGGAAACAATGTTCTTTATAGTGATTCTCTTGTGTACATGCTTGTGAATTAAATTGATGTAAAACACCTTGGCAATGGGGTCTTTTAATATAGGACCAAATTGAAACATTTTGCTGAAAATGTATAGTTTTTCACAGTTTCATTAGGTAAATAATGGTTCGGTGATCATATATGAGAAATGTACACATCAAATGGCCTTGCTGATGACTTGCACAATGTCGAAATAGCCTTTAAGCATCATTTAAATGTGAAAGGAAGCGATCTTTTCAGCCTGTGGCTGAGCACGGGCTAAGAAAACCAGACGGCAACATTGATGCTTTCAGGGTCAAGTTTTAGCAAACTGTAAACTGTCAAGGTGATGAAATGTTTCTCTTGATGTTTACCTGCACAAGCTTTGGGTTCTGACCGTAGACAGTGTGAAGAAATCAATGCCAGATTCCTGTTTTGTGCATTGTCTTGGGATTCTCCAGTGAACCTTTTTAGATGTGGTCTTGTTCACATGCTCCATGTAGCTGTAACTTCACATCATCAGCTTGCAGTTTGTTATGGACTAAAGCATTCCAGTGTCCTCTTTCTAGATTGCCAGTTCATGACATGGTGCTTATAAAGATTTAATTAAAGTAAGAATGAAATAAAGTTTTTATAATTACAACAGGTGTTGTCTGTGCGTCGTGCACACCCCTAAGTTGCCATTCCTTCATTACCAAATGGACCGCTTATGTCTACGCTCGCTGATGAAAGCAAGCCACAGAAATTCTATTCAAAGCAAAACTAATGTTCAAGCTCTAGTTTCCTTCATTTTTATTCTCTAAATTGCATGCTGACAGGCCCAGGTGAGTGTAGGGGAAAAGGCCAAACCCTTCTTGTGTTGTAGTCTTCAAACTCACATGTCACCATGTGTAATACACAATTTCTTTTCCCTGGCAAATAGTAATTATCATTCCTATTTTACAGATGATGAAATTGAAGCTAATAAGAAAGTAAATGATGTGTCAACAGAATAAAATCTAAGTCACATTTAGCAGCTCTTTTTACTCCTAAACACAGTTTCTTCAGCTTTGCAAAAATGGACAAAGAAAATGTGGACAAACAGCATTCTTGTTGTTCTTTGTTAATTGATTTTTCTCAGAAAGTATTATAATTATGTATGTCTTCGAACTCCCCTTTGCTTTGTATAGTATTAGGATGTTTGTGAGTTTCATTAGAAAAAAAATTCAAATAAAGCACCTTTTTTTTTTTTTTAAGACAGAGTTTTACTCTTGTCACCCTCAGTAGAGTTCTGTGGCCTCACAGCTCACAGCAACTGCAAACCCTTGGGCTTAAGCCATTCTCTTGCCTCAGCCTCCCAAGTAGCTGGGACTACAGGCACTCACCACAACACCTAGCTATTTTTTTGTTGCAGTTGTCGTTGTTTAGCAGGCCCAGGCTGGGTCTGAACCCACCAGCCCTGGTGTATATGGCTGGCACCATAACTACTGTGCAACGCACACCAAGCCAGACCAACTTACTCTTTTCCTAGGAAGGCTAATTTCCATTTAAAATTGGAGGCATTAAAAAAAAAATCCACAAACTCACTCAAGATTTCTTTAACATTATGTTAATCCTAGAGGATTCTATTTTGCTATATGACCCTGATTTCATCTTTTCTCCTGATTGTACAGCACACCACCAAAAGTCTCCATGAATCCAACTGTCCACAAAGATTGGAGGTCCATGTGGCCTCTAGAATTCAAACACACAACAAAAGGAGTCCTCTTTATTTAAAATAGGAAGTAAAATGTAATGCTGGCTTTACTTGGGCACCAAAGAGGCCAATTTATCAGGAAACAATGGGACATGGAGCCTAAATCTGTTTTTCTCAAAACTCATTTCAGAGCTCCTACTCTATGTACTAAGGAACTCTGTGAACTCACAAATGCCCACGGTCCCTCTTCCTCCTCAGGTCCTGTCCTTCCAAAAAGATATTCTGACAGAGTGCAACATGCTTTTCATAGTTAAGGGATCTCCATCCCTGTATCAGTTATTTTTTAAATGGCTGTCATGAAGTTGAATTTTACAGAAAGCCCTTCCTATAATCACCACTAAGAAAACGTTAAAAGTGTACAGACCAGAGACACAGAAGCAACTGGAATTAATGAGTTTTAACCAAGTATTCCTGAAAACAAAGGTTAGCCCTCTAGTCAGAGCTGCCCCGAGCCTTTTCTAATAATTAAGTCTTTGGAGAAAAGAAAGGACTTTGGATGATAGACTTGCTGTGTTGAAGCCAAATGATATTGGGAGGAAGAAATGATCTTCCTCTAAAAGGAAGATACTTTTGTCTGGACGTGGAGAGGACACCGTGTCAACCTCTACAACTGGTGTGCTCATCTGCTTATTCAATGTTTGTCTTGTCAAAAGTAGCTCAGATTTTGGTAACTCATGTAACAAGCTGGGGAGTCAGACACCAACAGCAGTTCCTTTTCAAATCTGCCCTGTTCCCAGAAAATGGGGTAAACAAATAAAGAGGTTCCTAGAATCTAAGAATCAGACACCAGTGAATATTAAGCTGCAGGCAGACAATGGCTGTCTGTAGCTCAACTAGAAATACGAGATGGGACAGCCTGTCTGCATCGGAAGACTTACCTTTGAGATTCGCCTAACTCATGAGTGAGGGATGTGGTACATCTATATTTAATTTCTATGCACTTTGCTAATCATTCATTTTCATTAAAAAAACTCTAGAAATCAATATTCTGTCATATAACCCAGTGTAATATGTAATATTTATCCTATAAAATGTTGCTGTAGGCAGGAACTTCTCTTCCTTCCTGATTTTACCATTTCAGTAAACACCTCTATGTAATGGAGGGTCCGGGTGCCATTTTGTTCAACACTGTACTAAGTGGAGGTAGAAGACAGCTGACTGCGCCTCCCTTAACAGTTTCTACTTACATATTATTTGATAAAGTCTCCCCACAGCTTAGGGAGGCTTGCAGTAGGAGAGAGATGTGAATTTGTTCACAACTCTGGTCTACTCAAGCAGTCTGCAGAGTATTAGAATATTATCTGTCTGAAACAAAAAGGGAAAGCTCCGTCTTGGGATCTGCTTTAAGTAAGCTATAAGTGGCTTCTGGAATATAAATTGTCCAAAAAATCAATGGAAATGTAGTAGACATGTAACACTTCTGAATTTTCAGCTTCCTCTAACGTGGATTGAAACACTAACCTGGGAGATACAAACACCAGGGAGACACTGTTGTTGTTAACAGATTCTGAGAGAAACCAGTGGCGGGGTTTCTTAACCACTGAAGCAAACACGGGTCTCTGTAGAATATCTGAAAGCTCTTTCTTTAACGTTAAGACTATGTTGAGACTAATTAACCACATCACAATAAATCAGCACTCAATTTTCTCTGTTAGATTTCAAGATGCAGGCAATTGGCAGGTGCATCAGGAGAGATGTTATCTGTCAAAAAATGTTTTTTCCTCTCCCCTTCCCTGGGAAGATTTTATTAGTCTTTTAGATTTTATTAGTCTTGATTCAGTCAAGGCTTTGTAGCATTTAGGCCAAAAATATCCCTGAGTACTTAGATGTAATCTATTCCTATATAGAACATGAAGAAAAGGAATATCTAAAACAAGTCCCTTCCTTAACTAGAAATTAGAATGACAGACAGGCAGAGGCCGTGCATTAGATTGTGCTGCATGGTCTCAAAGACAAAGTCTAACTGGGAAAGTGGAGAAATAGGATTGTCGTGATATCCACCTGTAATTTGTTAAGAAGGGAGTAGGAAACTCATGCCAGCAAGGCAAACAGATACTCCTACTAAGGAAAGCAGGCCATGCATATCTAAGAATGGTCACTCAGATTGTGGCAGGCACCTGTACTCCCAGCTACTTGGGAGCCTGAGGCAAGAGGATCTCTTGAGCCCAAGAGATTGAAGTTACTGTGAGCTATGATGACACCATGGCACTCTACCCAGGGCAACAGGGTGAGACTCTGCCTCAAAAAAAAAAAAAAAAAAAAGATTGGAATAACGTCTGAAAAGGTATTGAAACCATAAAAAAAAAAAAGAATGGTCACTCAGAGCGGGCACAGTGGTGCACTCTTATAATCCCAGCTACTCAGGAGCCTCTACTAGGAGGATCACTCAAGCCTAGACCTTTGAGGTCAGCCTGGACAACAGAGTGAAACCTCATCTAAAAGAGAAAAAGAATCGTCAGTCCAGTTATATTACAAAAAATATCCTATCCTTAGCTGGTGCAGTTCTTCCAGGAATATTTTTTATCTCTACAGAAATAATGTTGCTTTCTGTTTTTTTTAAACACATATCCTCTTGATTCATCTTATATTTTCGTCCTTTTGATTTAAAAACGGATGGTAGACACACTGTTATCTTCGGCTCCACTATAAGAAAAGCAAAGGCACGAGTGCTGATACCTGCCAACTGCTCTTTGACACAGACAGGGACGGCCCACTCCCACTTGAACTCAAAAGCACTTTCAGTGCCCTAAGAGAATAGCATCTGCCACCCAGCAGCCTTTGCTACATGGGAATATGGACTCAAAAGGGCCCCATCTCTCCAGAAAGCGCAGACACCCAAATGTTTAGGTTAATTTTAAGTTTGTTCAAGCGTTGACAACCAATTAAGTTAAAAAACAAAACACATGATCAAAAACAAACCTCAGGCCCAACTCTGTGCAGAACGAGCCCGCCCTGTCTGAAGACCGCACGTGTTGTGGCTGGATTGTATACAAGAGCTGCAGCCTCCCCGTCTGTGACCTCTATCGCAGAACAACCGATTTTACTGTTTGACCTTTTTAAGATGTTAAGAAACAGGAGTTCTAGTTGTCCTGAAAAAGCTCTCATCACCGCTTCTTATTCTTGTTCCATAATCCGGCTTATTTTCTAACATTTTTCTAGTTTAAAAGTGTGTGTAGCTGAATCTCGACTTCTAAGATTAAAAAAACAACAAAGCAAGAGTGATGTCTCTTTCTGGTCCCCTGTACCGAAACTAAATTCAGAAAAAGCGTCTTTCAGAAAATAACTCACACCTTTTACCTAGTAAGCAGCCCCCCACCCCCATGATGACTAGAAAACAATTCTTCTGGAAATGATAGTAGCGAGAACTCAAAAGGAGAGCATTTGTTCTGTGAGCCATGGGACGGCCTGAACCGTTTTAGTCAAGAGTGCTGAACAGCATCTGTGGCAGCACCACATTTCCAGATTGTGATGGTACCTGCTGACGTCCATGGCAGGTGCAAAACAGTGCGGGCTCGTGCCAGCTCACAGTGGGAACCTGAACTCTAGTTCTACAGATCTAATCACCTGAAGCACAGTCAGCAGACCGCAATTGATTTCTTTTCACCTTCGTGTTATATTCTTGGAATGATAAAGTGAGTATGGGCTGATTAATTACTTATTTGCCACTTCAAGCAAGTTCTTTATTGCCTGTCATCAAATGTGGTCATTGAGGGAAAATATCTGCTTTCACATAAGGAATAAGAGCATTGGTTCTCCCCATGAAACGATGGCGTGTTAGAGAGACATTAAAAATTATCAAATCTAATGCCCTTATTGTTAACGTCAAAACCTAGAAGAGTCATATGTCTATCTATCTGTAAAGGACCATTTTATAAATATTTTAAGCTTTGCAACCTCTTGGTCTCTGTTAT